TGTGTGTGTGTGTGTGTGTGTGTGTGTGTGTTTACCTGGTGTAGAGGGTCTCTCTAACAGATTGAGATGATGGTGAATGAAGGCCTGACTATCATGAACAGTCTCCATATCAATGTCTTCATCCTCCATAGTGTTGAACTACAACAGAGCAGAACTACATTGTGAACTCTTGTAAACAAACATGACAGATTTAACAGATCATTTTCAGAGCCTCTCTAGAAAGCAAAGATGTTTCTTAAGAGAACATTACAGATGTCAGTAAAAGAGTTTGTCAGTTCTCAGCCTAAATAAAACTCAGGCTTGAGAGGAGTAGTGCTCAGTAAAGAACAGTCCAAGCAAATGAGATGGAAGGAGTTGAGAAGAAAAAACAGTCATGGCAGAGCTCTATCTTACCCTGATTTTGTAGCGCGCTGCTCTTCCATCGTCCTCCTGTTGCTGCAATACCTGTCCTGGCTCCGGAGGAGACCCCAGTGGGGTCTCAGCTTTCCTCTTCAGGCCTTGAGGGGGCTGGCCCACCCCACACACCCCAAGTGAAATAGGATCTGGCTCTTCGTCCACCTGACAGATACAAAAAAAACAACAACAAAAAAAACTTTACTATAGTATTTTGTTGTTGTTTTTGTTATAGTAATGTAACATGAACAATGTGTTTGCAGCAAATTCAGATGGTGTATACAAATCCATTGAATGTACTTAATTTTGCACAGAATAACAGAATACTTAACATGATTTCATTTATATTTTTGAGGTACTATAGTTAACAAGGGTACTGGTTAGGCTAATAGAAGTTTAATCAACACTCACACAGATTTCATCATGAAAAACAGCCACAGTGCTACTCTTTCTGGTAATTCTGGGTGATGCAATGAGAATGAGAAACAGCCAAATACTGTTGGCAGCATTATCCTGTAGTGCCCATAATTACACAGATCTAACCTAAGACAACACAACTTTTATGGAAGCAGTTTCTATGTGTACAATGTAGTACTACTAAATCAAAGGACCACCAAGCAGCTCGCTGCTTACATCACCATTGACATAAAAACCAATGAAACCTGACACATTACTCTGACACCATGACTCATTTTACTAAATTGCTGTTGCTGGATACGGTAAAGGTCCTCCAAAGCAAACCACTACTATATATTCTGATCTTGCTCAATATTAAGTTCAGAAGGTTCAAAAAGTTTTACAAAAAGTTCTCCAGGTTTAAATTGGAGGTTTCCTTACCTGTAAGGAGAGATATGTTGTTTCTTTTTCGTTATTTCTAAAGTCAAATAAATCATGTAATATTCTGGTTCTAGTATTTTTTATACAATGTAGTCTGTCTTCACTTAATGTTTTTGCTGCCTGAAACTAAATAATTTGCTATTCTGATAATGAAATAGCTCCACTACACTTACAGTTGTGTAGCTCATGCCCACACCATGGATGCCTATACTGGCAGGGGTGTCCATGACAGCACTGACACCCAGCTCAGGCTTGATGGTGGGGTTGAGGACAGCCTTCTTCTCCTTCAGGTTGAGCACCAGGCCTAGTTCTGGCAGTGGCAAGCACGAGGGCCGAGTTAGACCAAACAGCGTGTAGTAGAGATTCACAGCGTCGCAGCGAAGCCGCCAGTCATTGGAGGTACCTGGAAAAAGGAAGGGCAAGGTGGACCAACAGTGTGGGGTGACAAGAATAATCACAGTGTAATAACACATAGTTTGCCATTTTATCACTGTACTAGGGCTGGACCCGAATATCTGGATATCCGAATATTCAGTCATTGTGGTGGTATCTGGATAGCAATTTTGATATCCGAATATTTGCCTGATTACCTTATCAATAAGTAGAGTATTGGCTGAATTGCCTTGAGCATGTGAATAGATTATTTCTTCAAAATTGGGTGAAGCAATCCTTAATAGAAGCCTGTAACCCTTCTCTATCTCCACGCAAAGACTAAGGAGTGGCTAATCTGCAAAATGTGGTGTGTTGGCCCCTTTCTTTAGGCAGGGTGCGCAGAACACACCGTCCATGCACTCCATCGTCACTGACCCACAGCATGGAAGGGCTTGGATGGTCTGCATTGTCACAGCAGGCTGCCATAGTGTAGACAAGACTGCTTTGGCATAAAACATATGTCTTCTTCTTCTTCTTTTTATAGCTTCCATTTTTTCTTGGTTGTTAGGTTAGTGAGCCCACACCAGCATGCTCTCTACAGAAGAACCATGAGGTACATGGCTCTTCCTGAAGCTTGTATGGCTACTTTGTGGGGGTGGAGAACGTGGTCAGTCATCATGCAGATTTCGTCCCACAATCTAGTATCTGGTTTTGGTGTCATGTCCTTTTCTACCTCAACTTGGTAAGGCAGCAGCATACAAAAGGTGTTGAGGGTTCTTGCTGACAGCGCCTTTTAGCACTTGTCAGTGAGGCTAGAATGGAAGTGTTCTATCTTTTGGGGGAGGGACAGAGCTGCAGAAGATAGGGAGGTCCTCATGGGAAGGTTGGTATTTACCAGTGGCTTTGACAAGTGGCATCTGGCTGATGCCTTGAGCCCCTATCCCCTTACAATCCAACAGGGACCCTCTCATGACAGGGTGTTTCCTGCCGTAAGGCTTAACTTTCCATGTCCCTGGTATCTCATCGAGCAATTCTGGAAGGACAGGCAACAGCTGATTTGCAATTTTCTTTCCCCTTGGTAGTTTTTTTCCATCAAACCAAGATTTTGCAAACTTCGCTTGAACAGCGGGCCATGGGATACTGAGCTAAGACAGCACAGGGTGACTCCCTCCCTCTGTAGAGACAGGCTTTGCATCAATGTGGGTGCTAGCGAGGAAGCTGGATTCTTCCTCGTCATTGTCCAACAACAGGAGCTCTGAGTCAGCCAGTGTTCCTCTGTCGTCATTACATCACTCACATTTGGCATGGGCAGCAACGAAACTTTCAGATCTGTCTTTAGCGACAGGAAAATGGAAGCCAGGAGCTGGAAGTCTACCTCTTCCCAGCTCAGTACAGATGTAGTGGCCAAACACTCGGACATTTCCAGTTCACCTTGCGGCACAGCTGCTTTACATCAGCTCTTTGCATCAGCTGGTCTCCTCCTGACAGGCTGGCCTGGTGCGCTATACAACGTTGAAGTAGCTTCAGAGGAAAAGCAGCAGAATGGACACAGCCATGGGTGGAAGTTAAGTGTTTTCTAAGCCCAAACACTCCACACACATGGGGTGGGTGTCCCAGCCACACGACATTTCAGGTTTTTCCTGACATCACTAGGATTGTTAGCCATAGCCATGGTTAACTAATGGGCTACAGACACTGGTATGACTATGGATAAACTTAACACCTTATTTTACTTGGCGTCCAAGGGTAAAAAGCAATGCAAATGTTCTTAAGGTATTAATACCTGTAATTACTACTTGTTGTGAGGGGTCACTAATGTTACCTATTGGGAGGTACACTTTACCAAAGGTATAAGCTAACACCGCCTTGTTAGGTTGGGTGAGAAGTACTGCTACTCAGCGCCAAAAGTAACTGCGTAAGGGTTGTGACAGACTTGTGCAGCCCCATTTTCAACAAGCTGCTGTGAGAAGCAAGGAGTTTTGAATGACAGCTGATACTATGTAAGTCTTTTATCACAGGAGGAGGGTCCCCAGCTCTCCTGACACAGATGTCATCTATGACATCCAAACTGGGGCTGGCATGATGGAATTTGCACTTTCGATTAGGTGACACAGGAGGCAAACCCGCAGTGATACAGAAACGAATGCTACGAATATTATGCTCAGAAATCTACATACATACATGCGTAATGAACATGACTCTATTGGGATTTCAATGTTTTTGTTTAACTGTTTTTCTTTGGAAATTAACAAAAAACTGCAGTTGAAAGAAATCATTGAAAGCTCAACATAGTGTTTGTAAAGTTCAGACCATTACTGTAACTTCTAAATGCTCACTACTTGCATCACTTTTTGCAAGATCAGCACTAAAGACCTTGGAGTAAAGACTGCCAAATAAAAGGTGCACCATATTATCACTTTTCGTCTTTCTTTATAACTGCAGGCTTTTCATCCCATGTTTAAGTGCAGCCATTAAGAAAAGCTATCAGCACTTTAGCCTTCTGACACAGTTGCTGCACATGCTACTTTTTCTAGGAGTTAATCTTGAGCTGCATGCTCTTCAACTACACATCATATTTGGACTTCCCACAGAGACAATACCAGCACAACTAAACACAAGATAATCAACTCTCAGTGACATGAGAGCGAAATGTATCATTATATGAGCCATTTGAGAAGTTATACTGCTGCATGAAACACCAAATCTTGCTAAAGCTGACAATCCAAAAGCCAGGTGCCTAACATGGGGGGTGGTTTGTGGCTTTCAAAGGTGGTTGAAATAAATGAATAACAGCAGCAAAAAGTCCTCTAAGTTTGTGTTCTTACAGCACTGACCTTCAGCCAGTGAAACACCATCCTGTGTGAATGTGTGTGTTTAACACATGGGGGGCTATTGGATATGGGGGGAGGGGAATAAAACAACCAACACATTTTCATTACATAGTATTTAAGGTGACCACATTCTGTTCGCTATGTATTTAAACTGGCAGCACAGTCCAGCAGCCACCCACGCTAACCTGACCAACAAATAGAAGTTCACTGGAAATAATGATCAATCAATATTTTTGTCCATTCTTCATGCTTGTAAGTCAATAAAATAAATAACATGTTGCAATAAGATCCCACTGGTCTTCAGGAATATGGAACTGTGAACATATACTTGTATTTGGCTTTTGGGGTGGTGTGTATTTGGTTTGGCAGACTAAAGCTTTATGGCCTGGCTAGCAGGCTGAAAGACACATAGGACCCCCTGGAAGAGAAAGAAATAATGAAACCTGAGGACACAATAGAAGGCAGAACCTTGTGTGTGTATATGGAGGCAATGTACCAAGACGTAGGCCTTAACCTTTTAGGTTATAACCGAAGAAATACAACCAAATAGTAATTAATGAAAGAGACAAGGAGCCTATTTCATCTGAGACAGTCTCAGGCAGTAGACGGACTGCGATCACTGCCATGAGGACATTCAACTGTTCCTGGTACTGACATTATTTGGTTCCTGTTGTACCTAACAAGAGTATGTGTTGTCTGAGAATCACACCAGCAACAATACATATAAAGAACAGAAGATTCAACAGCAATTCCACTAAATGACCTTGATTTACCAAAGCATGTCCCAAAGGATTTCTACAATAGCCCTGATTCTAAGAGACATATATGTGGATGGTAACACTGAGGCATTTTGGACAAAAGCAGTTATATTATCTCCAGGATAAAGTAGCAGTGTTCTGTAAGAAAAAAAAACTATTTGACGTCCACCACTAAGCATTTAGTTCTATGGAATTAAATAGCTACAAAGCATTAGAAAATTCACATTGATGAGAAAACCACTCACTCATAAACTAATTAACAAAATACTAATAAATAATTTTGATAAATAATTATTCATTACACTTAAGGACTTGCTGCTATATCACTGTAAATTGTATATATTTGTGTTTCCTACTGCTGGTTGAAAAAAAAAACAAAAAAACTTCCAAGTTACCAGATGCCACCTGTGCAGAAAGATATGAGGTGATTTCCACAAAAACAGCTTTTTAAAGTGGCAGTAACTATAAAATGCAGATAAAGGCAAAAGTCTGTATGGGTTGTGCTGAAACTGATACAGATTGCGAGAACGTGACAAGGTAGTTCATTTAGACATGAAGCTAAATCATTCATATGCTGTCAGATTGATGTAAAGGAATGCATGTCTGAAAGGGGGTATAGAAAGACAGCTAACTATACAGTTCACGACATAGAAAACAGCAAACTACACACCTAACGACAGACAACTACACAGGTAAAACCAGAGAAAGAAGTCAACTACACAACTAAAGTCGGCTCTCTTTGTTTGAGTATAGCTAGCTGATGAGACAGTTGCACAAGGCCTTAGGTAAAACTACAGGTATGTTTTGTCATTTAACCTAACTAGTCAGCTGGAATTAAACATATATGAAACATGTCATTTTTAATGAACTCACATGTTGGTTGCTCAGTAAAGGCAGCAGTTAAATCAGTTCATGCTCGAGAAGAAAAAGAGCTAAATTCCACCTGAAGATAGACAGCTTCGATGTGCAAACTCTTGTGACTATTTTGGTGATTAGGTGGTTCAACGTCCTTTAAATCAAATAGAAAAGTACTATGAACCTTCGCTGTGTAACCATAAACTGTAGTTTACTCAGTTTGCTTTAATAATCCTTAAGATTGTTCTATAACTTGATTCAAGTGAACTTGTGGCAACCTGCATACAATAGATTCAAAGATGCAAGCGACTCTGTAGACCTCTATGACAGAACCTCGGTGAGGCTAAATCAGGCCAATGGTATAGAGTCATTTGTAAAGTTTTTAGTGATCTCAGGAGCACAGTGGCCTCAACAAGTCTGAAACCACCTAGACTCTTGCTTAAGTAGGGCTATGTGAATATGACCAAACTGATAATGACAGTGATATTTTGATCAATAGGATCATCATTGACTGATTTTAGTGACAAAATATTTTTATTGCACTTTCACATTTAAACAGAGCACTGCTTTCACATCATGGTTGGGGATTTAGTGAGGTGATGGTAGTGACATTGTTCTTTTTGGAATTCATGCATTAAGTGTACTGCAGTTTGTGGTGCATTGTCATGTGATTCAACAAGACAACTGCAAGACAGATACAAGTCTCATGACCTCTTTGCATATAATTTGATTTTGCCTGACAATACCGGTCATAAGTTTAAAAACAAGTTCTTCTTGTTCTGCTCCAGACATTTGATTTTCATTTTGCGCTCTGTTCTATATTACTCCTCTACTTCCACAGGCTGCTGTTGCAGGGGTAGTTGCACAACAGCATGACAGTTTCCCAAAAGTGAAGCCAAAAAATTGCAATCAGTCCCCAGTGGCCAGCTGTTAGTACAGCAAGCGCTTAATTTGACATACAGTGGCGTTTTCTCTGAGCAGAGCATGCACTTTAAATGTCAGTATTGTAGTCGGTCATGTTCATTTATTTGCAGGAAGCCAAAATCATGATCTGAATTTGATTAATTGTGCAGCCCAATCCTAGAATTATTTGTCTGGTCAAACTGAGTAACTGAGTGAGCAAGGTGACCAAGAGCCCAACAGTGTTTTGGCCTCAAAACTGTAGACACTCTCGCTCAATGTCTGAATACCTTTGTAAATTGAAGCTTCACGTTTTTAATGAAATTCTGAACACCATAAAGTGTGCAAAAGGTGCAACGTGTTCTAAGTACTTTGTAACGCATATGTATTATATTGACTTTGTTCTAAATATTCACAGCATTGGGACTGACAGAATCCTCGACAAAAACACAAAAACTCTTCATGTCCAATAGAGACTGTAAATAACAAACAACTAATGAGACATTGTTTAAACAAACTAGTTCAGATGGATGTGGGTTTTCACAGAAAGGATTTTTTTGGTAAAAATCTGTCCTTAAAATGAAAAAGTTATTTACAACCTTTCCACATGTATTACTGTTTGCTGTCCTGCCAGAACACCTGTAGGGCATGTTCTGTTAACTTCAAAAGCCACACTAGCAGAGACACAGCACACGTGGCTCTAAATTCACACGGAGTGTGTAGCAACGTGTAGGTAAGCAAGTGGAGCTGGAAGTAAGCCAAGACCTCATTTATTCCAAACAATTCCACATAAAACAAAGGGAGAATACAGGTAAGAGGAAAGAAAGCAGAGAAGCAGTCAAATCTCAAATGTTGGACAACCTCAAGTGGCAAAAACCAAAAGCTACTTCACTTTGGCTCCACATCATGTGGAAACATAATAAAGAATTATGTTTTATCTTTTCTGTCTCTCAGAACAGTGACAAGTGGAATCTGGAAACCAGCTGACAGATACACACCACAAGGGTTGCATTACCAATGTGAAAACAATCGTTTAAGGCTGAACCAAGTCCTTCCCCGTGATTCCTTTAAAGTTGATGCCGAAGTATTTGAAATTTTTTCTGGAGGATTATAGTGAATCATCAAACAGTGTCAGAGAGTTGATGAACAGCAGATTGGTTTAGTCTGACAGAAGTCTGTCCTTTGAAACACTGAAAGATGGGATGAGATTATAGATAACAGGTGATTAAAGATCAATAGCAATATAATGGGCATGTTTTAGTACTACTTTGTGCTCTTCTCGAGTTACTGAATAACACATGGACTAGAATACATACACTCTAAATAAGCAGCACAACATAAATAAGGTACTTGAAAACTTGATTCACAAGATGCTCTGACAACTATATGCTCTAATAAAGTGTTGTTCTTTTCTCTGTCAGTGGAAAACAAGAACCCTGTTGGATTCTTGTTCACTTTCCTGACCAAAGCCATCCTGCCTAGTTTCTGAGTGTGGGTTAAAGCCAGTTCAAAAAGAAGCCCTGGTGCCTCCAAACTTCCATGTCAGCGACAGAGCCAACTGTGCGGCTGGCAACTTTAAAATTAACTTTAAATCAAATCCATAACACAACAAAATCTGGAAAGGGTCTTAATACTTTCTGAAGCCACTCTGGTATTTGAAAACATTCAGAAAGTACCACTTGGTTTTGAAATATCTCCATAGTGTTTTGAGGCCAGAGGAGTACTGGTAGAATAAAAGTAGCTGCTGTCATGCAAGTTGTGTGCGTTTAAGCTTTTCAGTGATATGGAGAATAGACACTGCTGGCTTTGATAGAAAAGAAACAATCAAATCTTATAATGACATAGTTAAAACATAATAAGACCTCTTCAAGGTTTCTTTTACAAGAGGACGCTTTGCAGCTCAAACGAGTTTACTGGAACTTTGTCCCAAAGGAAACCAAAGACAACATGTTCAAAAAGAATGTTCTCTTGGTTCCGCTACATGCATTGTGTGTTAGCTGTGAAAGCAGTTCTTGCAAGGAAAACTGAACATTCATTAACTGAATTCCCATCAGTGTAATTCGCCGCACTTGTGGCTGGATAAGCCTATTTGTGGTTAGATCCTGCGTCATGAGAGTAAAAGTAAAAGCGAAGCTGTGATTTGTTTTTGATGAACAAAAGCCAAAGTGCCTCCATTGTATCAAATGACTAATGGCAGTACCGTCACCAATGAGAAATAGCCTGAGTGTTAACAAAATGTCTTGGTAGGTAATGGCTCATGAGGTACTGCAACTACTTCTGTGGCGAGTGACTAACATAATGGAATTTGACATGTTTGTTCAGGAAAATAGCAAGATGAAAGCTGCAATGAAGCGCTACATTTGTTTTTGATGCCACAGTTGCACAGCTTTGTACCATATCCCTAGTACACTGTCAGCTGCACTGGATCAAAAGAGACATGCAGGACTTCTAAATGGTTCAATCATATCCAGTCACAGGCTCCACAAAAAAAACACGCCTGATCCACAACACATTCAGTACTACAGCCTGTTGAAGATTTAGCAGTCTGTTACAAGTAATCGGTTCTCGTAGCTGGTTCCAGTTTGGATCCAAGTCCCAGTTGGCAAAACACCTGGATTAATTAATCTGTGATGCTAAATAATCCCTTAAAGAACCTTTTATCTTTCCTGGTTATTTCTTATTAACAAAGACCAGTGATGGAAAAATGCAGTTAACATTAGCTGTTCTAATTTCTTGCCATGGCTTTCTCCAGTAAAATAACCATCATCACCAATAGTGGATGAAATCAACGGCAGTGAATACATGTAAAAAAAAAAAAAAAAAAACACACAAACTTTTGTATGTTGGTTAATGTGCACTCCCCAAGCTGCTGACTGAACTCTGTCACAAATTGTAAGTGAAAAAACACATCATCTGTAACGTCACCCTACATCCACCAGTGAACTGTGTTTCTGTAGTTCAAAAGAAAAGACACTCTTCCAGACTGAATGATCCGCTGATCATAGCACATACTACACACTAAATCAGCATTTAGAGACCATTAAGCGTAAAGTAGTAAATTAGGGCTTCCATTATAGGGAGCTGTAAAACTCAGTGTGTTCCAGCTGCTTCTGTGTGCCACCACACTGTGTCAACATTTCAGATATTCTGCTGCTCAGCTCATTTTTAGGTTAGAACTGCAGGTTGTCAACATTACTTGAAATAGTTTCATTAATATTAATGCTGACTACTTTAGTAGCAGTCACTAAAAACTACAGTACCTGTGGCTCCTTGCCCAACAACAACTCATCATAGTTGTAAAATGAATCCTTACCTTGTAGTTATGTACAGTATAACTTGAGTTACTTGCAAATGATGAAAGACCAGCTTGACAAATGAATAGTAAGAATCCACTAGGAATTTTAAATGATTTTGATCTGATAAGGAAATTCAGATTGATAAAATCCCATCCAACTGCTACCCCAGTTTAAGCAATCATTTCTGCACATTTTGTAAGTTCTGAAGGCATCAAGAAGATGTAAACAGGATTAACCTGCGCACACATGTGTGTGTGTGTGTGTGTGTGTGTGTGTGTGTGTGTGTGTGTGTGTGTGTGTCTTACCTGAGTTCATAAGCTTCCATAGCTGGTCAACCAGAGCTTCATTACACAGAGCGGAGTCTGTTGTCTTGGTAAAGGGTGGATTCTTACAAAGCATACCGAGGATCCTATGTCTAATTGGACAAAAAAACAAATAAACAATGAAATTCTACATATGGACTGTTGTGCAATTAGTCAACAATTGCTGCCGACGAAGCAGCAAACTCTGGGGCTGAAAAAATAGGCTAACCCAGTAGTGTCAAAAGCTGCAGTGCCTAAAGAGGACACCGGAGCGTGGCTCCAAAAGTTAGTCATTCCCCACTGATCCTGATGTTCAAAGCAGGATTAAACATGTTTACAGGAAACAACACAAAAAATGGTTTTGACCTCTATAGCTAATTTATTTATTATGGCTTAAAATTATGCATAATTAAGGATGTAGGTGCTCTGAGTGCCAAGTGGGTGGTATCCAAAGATAGTTCAATTCAATTCAATTCTATCTTAATCATATTGCCCCAATTGACAACATATGTCATCTCATAGCACTTTACATAGTATGGTGAAGACCTTACACATTTTAAACAGAGAACAGAGAACCCAACAATCCAAAGTTTCCTTTGGATTCCCTGTGAGCAAGCAATCTGCGATGGTGGGAAGGTTAATTTCCCAGCAAGCTGAACCTTTACTCCATGTCATTCCTCTGTTCTCATTCCCCATGGCTCCTGTCTGTATTAAGCTACATTTGCCTAAATTCACAATTGCCCATTATGGGCTCTTCAGCCGCTGTGGCTGTCAATGACAATTTATAAGATAATAAAGTCCTTACAACATTATTCCGTGGTTACATGAGTACTCAGTATTAATTGGTGGAGATCTTGCACTTCTTCGATGCTATTGTGTAAACAAAATTAGACACATAACACCTTTCTAAGTAATGAACTCCACATCTGTGGAAGTTCCTGCTACAACAGGTATCTTGAGGACCCCATGTTGCCATGATGAAGTACATACTGGCTCACAAGGTGAAAACAATACCGTCATGCTGTCGTGGCTGGTAAAAAAAAAAGAAAAAAAGAAAAAAAAAAAAGCTTTTTTTCCCAACATGATCTACTACTGCACCAGTCTCCTTTGTAGACTATAGATGTGTCAGCAGACAGCCTCATACAAAATACATTATAACTAACAAGACAAATATACGGGCTGCAAGGTGGCGCAGTTGGTGAGCACTGTTGCCTCGCATCAAGAAGGTCACCAGTTCGCATCCTGGTGGGGGCACCGGGATCTTTCCAAAAACATGTTGAGGTTAATTGGTGATTCTAAATTGTCTGTAGGTGTGAATGGGATTGTGCTTGGTTGTCTGTCTCTAAGTGCAGCCCTGTGATAGACTGGTGACCTGGTCCAGGGTGTCCCCTGCCTTCGCCCTAAGTCAGCTGAGATAGGCTCCAGCCCCCCGCGACCCTAGTGAGGATTAAGCGGTGTATAGATAATGGATGAATGGGAGACAAAAATATTAAGGACTGCTGCAAATGCAATTTAAGGCATTTTAACAACATTTAAGGCTTTTTTTTCTGGAAACTAAACTGCTATTTAAGATACTTTTGGTGCCGACTCAAGAAAACATGATGAAACGCAATTTTGTGACAAACTCTTAAAAGTATTTATAGTATAGTCTATTTACTTTAAAAAGTTTGATAAGCATTTTACTGATGGTGTGAGAAACTGTTGTGTTTATTCCACATAGGGCTAAATTATCCCTGTCATGATGTACAAAAGCTGTTATTAGACAAATACCAATTTTTTTTTATTTTTATCACCACACTGCTGTTTCATGTAATCATATAATGTATAACAGAAGTGACAACATATTTTGGAAGACAAGATCTAATGACAAGCAAAACAAAAAAGTATGAGGTAAGAATTCTGTCGTTAAAGTGAGAAGGACTGTGATGTGCAGCCTGAATGTGTGCTGCGAGAATGCGTATAGTGTGTGTGTGCTATCTAAAAATCTGTGCTAGTTGTGAGCTGACCTGACATAGTGAGTTGGGTCATTCTGGACCAGGTTGAGCAGCCACTGTAGCTCTGTTGAACTCCTTTCAACTGCAGGACAAAGAGAGAACAATCACAACAAACCTAAATACAAGGACACATCTCTATGGAAACCTACATACATGCGGAAGATAGGTGGCTTGACTAGCCTCTAAGATAAGCGCTGACTGAGATGCATAAGAGCTAGTAATGCTGGTCTCAGTTATCTGTGAGGTGGATCAATGACTTTTATGAGAAAAACAGAAACACAGCTAGCATACTTGTTTTAAATGTCATACCTCTAGTGTAGTCCACCAGAGCTTCCAGTGCCGCAGTCCGAACATCTACAAAGTGTCCATACTCAGCGTAGGACTTAAAAAGTGACGGGTCACTGGGAATATGACCATTCCTTTGAAGCTGACGAATTGCTCTCAAACAACTGGAGAAAGGGAGGATTGAGGACAGTAAACATGACATTTATTATGAGCTGTGTGAGATTAGTTCGGGAAAATCACCAACAGAAAGGCTGGGAATGTTTGCTATACTAAAATTGGCCTGAATCAGCATTTTTTTCAATTCATCGGTGACACATAACCAATACAATCGTCTTTTCCTACGATTTAATCTGGAATTATCACAAGCGCCATTGGTTTGCTGCTTTCTACATGTTAAATGCTTAGCAGTGGTTCATGAGTCTGTATGCTACACTGTATTATAGCTGTTACATTTAGCTTCTATTCTTGAAAATGTTATGCATAACTAAATATTACACAACTACTTCGGCTTTCTTAGATGTGTATTTTGCACAAGTACTGATCCAAACTTTGCATTCTGCACGAATGCTTTTTTTGTTGACAGAATCCAAACCAAAAACACACATTTCTTCAAAGAATTAGTGGCTGGTTGTGGTTAAAGATAAGGTCACAATGTTCCTATCAGGTTTAAACTAGTTTTTTTTACACCGTTTTACAACAATAAGAAGCAATATACACAATGTTTTTTTATTTAACAAACTATTCTGTTGTGTAAACTGAGCTGAAGAGCTGTCAAGAGAAACACACTGTGAGACATCCGTTTAAAATCCATTAATATAAACAGGTCACCACACTCCACTCTGTACCTGACAGTGATGGTGTTTCTAAAGCTCGGCAGCAGTTTCTCCATGTTTAGGAATCGTGTGATCTCCTCCAAAATGAGACGGACATCAGCGTTTAAATTATCCACTGTCCGGACCTCATTGTTGATGCTGATGGCTGGGGTCAGAGAATTAGTCAGTGCTTCGATCAGTTCTGCGCGGTAGTAGTTATCTGAAAACTGGACATAGACAAGCGGACGAAAGGGAAAGATTTTATGAATTGTACCTAAGATAAAAAAGATGTATTGCATCAGATTTGGCTATTTTCCATCAGTAGGTCCTGGGCAAGTACACAAAACACTACTAGAACATATCAGGAGTTCAAAAGGCTATGAAATGCTACATTGGACATACTTAGATCATCCTACACAACCCTATACTGTTACTATGTTACATATCAAGCTTAAGCCTGTGAATGTCTTTACTTTGTTTTTCCTGTTGTCGTTGTACTTGATGAGGTCCAGGATAAAGTTGAGGACATCTTTGGGACAGAGGTTTTGCACATCTCTGAGCAACGCCATGGCAACCGGCATCGTCTGACATGAGAGACAAAGACAAGACAGCCATCATAATATATAGCTACAAAAAGATGGAAAGCAGAATTTGCTGGCATAATCTCCCAACGTGCTTGAGTGTCCTATGTGGCCTAACTGATAAAAGGAATTGTGCGGCTGATGGCAACATTTAGGAATTTTTAGAACAGGGCTAATGTTGCTGGGTTTTTTTAAGCTAATTTCAGTTAATAAACATATTTACAAGAGTCAAGGCACAGTGATATAAACGCATGCATGACCCTCTACAAGTCAGTGTAAGAAAAGAAGGGACTGTGTTGATTTGTTTATTTTATGTACCTTTTGCAGGAAGTAGCTCTGGAAGTTGATGAAGTTGTTGGTTTTGACGATGTTGGGGCAGCTCTTACAGCAGAACATTCTGGTGAACAGCGATTTCATAGCTGGTGGACCCTGCCATGCGCTCACCATGGCGTTGGCTATCTGCGAGGATCATGTGATCACAGAAAAACACAATTAAACAGTCAGTTACTTTATTTCAGATCTGTTCAAGTTTTACCATTGTGGAGGACTGTATCTGTTAGCTGTGCTCCATCTGCTGTCATCGCAGTCAAATAATAACAGTGGACAACATGAAACATTCAAGATTACTGCAAACCACAAGGAATGAAAAATGTAAGCTGAAGTATAAGCTGTGCTCATGAGTTATAGCAGGCATTGGAGAAACACTGTATATCTAACAAATGACAAGTCGAGAGTGTTGTAACTTTTATAACAATGCCCTTTCTGTCCATTACACTTTTTGTGGTGAGAACTGAGCTACAAAGTAAACAGTAAATGTACACATGAGCAGTACATGAGTTTCCACAGGTATGAAGACCAGTGGCTCCAGTGGTCTTTGAGCTCCAACAGGATATTGGGGAATTTATGTTAATGTGGTAATATAGGGCTAAGGGTCACTGACACAGGATGTTGTCATTTGGTTAGATAAATAAAGGGGGGCATGCACACCGGAATGTTTTTGTATGTGTGTGTGTGGTTGTGTTCACGAACACATCTGACTTTTTTCTGTGTCAGTGTTTTGAACATATGTATGTATTTGTCAGTTCTTGTATGTGCCCCAGCCTAATCCTTCTTCATCCCACATCTTCTACTAATAACATGCAACTAAAATCCATCCCAACCAATCATAATGCAGCCAAGTCCATCACAGGATTAAAGTCTACCATACTTCACTCTTTGTGGTCAGCTGGAGTGTGGAAGTCTGCGAGTACGTGTGTTTATGTGCATGTCAGAGTGAGTGTTTGAGCTTGCATGTCAATCTGTCTGTGTGTGTGCGTGTGTGGTGTATACCAAAGGCGATTATGATGGAGTCTGTTGGGGGTTCTGTGGCCATACACAGCAACCTAATGAAAGTGAAGTGCTGCCATTTCAACCTCCACTCAGTTTATCATGTTGTGAAAATATTGTTTCAGGTGGAACCTGAAAGGCGGAAATCCAGTGGGGGAAAAGTTGGAAGAGACCATATCCAGAGAATAGAGAATTTCCTGTAGCCACAGAATAGGATTATTCAGTCAACTCAGTGTATGTGCAGTAAGAGTTAAATTGGTGGGTGGCCTTGCTCGCTGGGAACTTATATGTTGTTCTCCAACTGTAGCCTGTTTGACAGCATTGTTAAAACTAAATATTTGGTTAAAATTCCTTTTTTTTAAAATTTTTTTACTAACATACTAATTTTGTTTTTTTTTTTTTTCCTTTTTTTTAAAATTTTTTTACTAACATACTAAGTTCACTAACATACAAAGGGCTAAAATTATGCAATAAATATGTGTTTCTTTCCTCTACTAATCTCTTTGTGCTCTGCTTTCAATCATTGCCACTGAAAATGAATACATTCCAGAACAATTTAAAACGTTAATGGTTAAAACCAAACTAATTATTGTATTATTATTATTTATTGTATTATTAATTATTGTACCCTCTTAAAGATAAAGTTAGTCTTAACAAACAGAGCAAAACTAGGTCTTGTGAATCTGGGATCACAAGCATAAAATTGCCCAAGTTCAGGAACTTACAGTGTTAATTCATAAAATAGTTTTAGTGGAAATAAGGCTAACTTATGCTAAAGTGAAAGTTGCCGTGTGACCAGTGTTTTGCTTATGGTTCAGTGTCAGTACACTCATTATCATTACAAGAGGAGCTGAGAGAAGTTTACATTCCAAGACCAAAACAGCAGACCATGTTGAAATGTTGGATATTTATACTGAAAGACTGCAGAAGAAGGTGTTTGGTGTGATCCCTGAACAGACCAGGAGGATGGTGGTCAGATGAGGGAAAATGCATTCACCTTTTGACCATCGGCTCCAACATCACTGTAGTCTGACATTACTCTATCAGAACTCATACGTCCAGTGGACGTTCTGGAATGCCTTACCAACCACCATATCCTAGGCAGGCAGGTTAGGTGAGGAATCCCATATCCAATCACAGTTGTGGCTCAATATCATGAAAAGGACAATGTGTGACATTTGTCCTTGACATAGAAATTGTGGCAAACAAGCCAAGCTGTAGCCCAGATGATTTGTTTTGTAAAAGTTATTATTCCAAACCATTACATTTCAGGATTGCTGAATTAAACACAAACACAATGACACATACCTTCGCCAAACAGAAACAGGCCTGCATGCGGACTTTGTAGAAACACTGCTCCTGCTCTAGGATGTCAGTCAGAGCCCGTCTGGAAGCAGGAGTTGGGAATTTTTCCAGCGCTGAGATGGCCTCCTCCTATCAAAATCACATAATTATATTCATTGTTTTGTAATGTCGCCATGTCCTAACCCATAACACAGCTGTTTTAGCCACTCAGTAGTAATGCAAGGCTACCAATTGTTGGAAATGCAGTGAAAGTTACAGGAACACTAAAGCTGCTTCAGATACAAATTCTACCTATGCCTGTGTGCAAGATGTGTAGAAAACTCGAAGAGAGGTAACAAAAACCTGTGAGAAACTATTGGAAACACTTATTTATAACAATATACTAATTCATCTTATAGGATGTTTTGTACAATAGCATGATTTTGAAAACTGAGGTTTGATTAACTCACTTCAATAGTAGAACTATTTGTAAGTTCAACATTGTATTTTCAAAAACCACTGAAATATGCATTATTTAACTTTGTTTACCTGTTTACCAAGGCTCTAGTTATACATTTTTATTGCATTACATTCATATCACCATTGAATGTCTTGCAGATACAGGGGGATTGGAATGATGTAATTTGCCATATCTGTGGTTCAAAAACACTTCCACACATATACTTCAAATATAAAGGCCTGTGTGGACACCTGCACTCTTGACATTAGCCCACCTGTGCAACCACATCCCTCTCATAGCGCAGCTGATACTGCCACATAAAGTCCGCTTGCTCAAACTCCACCTTCCTCAGAATGGACATGTCGGGATCAATTCGGATCCAGAGAAGAGGAGAGTCAGCACTGCAGAGGAAAGGAGTGACAGTGACTTAATTAGGAAAAGAAATGTTAAGTTGCTTAAGTGAACTCCCATTTGTCATTCTAGGCAGCTGAGGAAACTGCCTCGAAGGAATTTTCACAAACTGAATGCTAACACAGTGTCAGTGATATGAGTCATGTGGATTTGATGCCAAGCACGTGGGGGAGCTGAGACTAGTCCACTAGAAGCCTTCATGTAACATACTATGGATTAAAATAATGATCGGATAATATCTACATTGTTCCATGTATGTCAATCAAGTCATCGCAGAGTAAAGTAGCAGCTGACAGCTAAAAGTGATGTACGGTCTTACTCCATTGCAGATAAATCCATGTCAACCTCCTCTCCATTCATCAGAGGGATCTTCTTTTTCTTGTTTCTGGAAAAAGAAACCAACAGAACAATCAATGACTCATAAGCCAAAGACTACAAGACGAACATGGGGAAAACTTGTTTTAAAAAACTGTTTTGTTGACATTTCTGTTTCACTGCGGAAAGAAATGACAAAGATGAAATACAGACTGTAAGCATTAACGTATTAGGAGGAACCACAGTAACCAACTAAAGTTTAAGTTTGACATTGACTAAAGAGAGTGTTTGACAGTGATATACTCAAGTTTTTGGCAAAACACTCCCTCTGCACTGCTGCTGCAACATCAGCGTTTCCAGGGTGGCAACAGCACCAAGACTGAGAAGTCTGCAAAATACAGTATTCACTGAACGTAAGAGAATGAACCAATGTGCTTTGCTGTACCTTCTGCTCTTTGAGTGGCAGGGGATGTCATGCTTGAGGCTGTTCTCCTCTATCTGCAGCGTGTGGTTGAAGGATCCATCCAGCTCCTGGACTGTCACCTTGATGGGACCCTGCAGAGAAATAATTATATGATTATTTATAAAAAGATAGTCTTGATCCTTGTCGGGAAGAGCAATGAGCAGGGTTTGGATATACACAGGTTTTTTTTTAGACGCTTTCCCTTGAGGAACGTCACACATAGCGGGCTTCATTTAACTGTTTAAGCCACTGACAAATTTTACATATTGTATTTTTGTGTTGTATCTTAAGGCTCACCACATATTTCTGAGTTCCAGATGATGTGTAGTCCTGACGGATCTCCAGCTCGAGCACATTCCTCTTCCTGTTGAAGGCAAAACTGCCAAAGAATTTTACCACACTACTCTGGTCTCTGGATTTGAAAAGTTAAGACTTCAACATGTGCAGAAAACTAAGAACAGTTGGAGAAATCAAATCCTGTTTAGAGATTCCTCGGTGACATTTACTATTAATACTGCAATGATATATTTATAATACTGTATCAGCTTTCTTTGTAGTTCAATAGCCCATGATGTCATGATGGAAATTATTTGTGGTATGCATTCAGATTTCTGAATTTAGAATTGTTTAAGTGATCTGGGTCCTTTTCATGTACAAGTTTGTTTCATCCAAGTATTTCTGATAGAAGTTGAGGCAGTTACAAAGTCATGCAGAAATGAGCTATCAGACTGCAAAACAATCCCGCTAAGGGAATTAATTTAAGACCTGACATGACTTGCCTTCACAATTTACTGTTTTTGTTCTCTATTGTTCTCAGTGCATTGTGCTATATAATGCAACCACTTTGCTAAGAATTACTTTTTCTACAGAATTAAGTTTTTCTACAAACAGAAATCCAGTATACATAAGGGATACACCCATTGTTTGATGAGGGGGCCTATGTCTTTGCCAGAGACATTGGAGATGGATTTGAGGAAGGCGTGAGTGGACAGAAGCATCTGGCTCCACATGTGACTCTGGTACTTCTGTGACGAGGCTGTACTGGCAAGGCTCAGGAGCTTGTTGAAAACCTGGAGAAGAGATGCAACAGAAGTCAATAGAAAAATAGGCTTTTGATACAGAATAGGAACAAAACAGTTTGAAGTTAACTCCAGCCTATTTGACTACAACAATTACACAAATCAAAAAAAGACAAGAAAACCCTAGTTGCGTCTTGACCTGCAACATGAACTCCATGCTGATCCTGTTTTCTATCAGCCTCATCACCAAGTGGGCCTTACACTGGAACATCTTGTAGTACTCCCAGGACAGGGTGTGGGGGTGCTTGATGGAGAAGTGAAGGTGGGGAGTTGGACTGAAGAGGATGAAGCTCAGTCAGTTCCAACAAAATGACCTGCTACTAATACTTCAAACATTAAAAGTGATTTACTGTAAATGATGCGTAGTGATTTAAATTGAATATTCATTTATTACTTGTCCTTCTCTTTGCCTCCACTGAACGTTGGATGCAACAGAACACCTCCCATTTTTAATTCATAGTCCACAATCTTGTCCAGTTCCTGTTGAATAAAAGATAAAACATATTCACAATTATAACAAAAATATCACATAAATTCAATTCAGTGTATATATACTACTACTTCATTTCTCGCTAGAGGGAGGTGAGCTGTTTAAAGTTTAAAGCAGTAGGTAGAAATGTGGAAAAAGCCCCTAAAAAACACACACATGAAATGAAATGATAAATACTTTATTTATCTCAGAAGGGAAATTCAATCAGAAGGGAAATTCAATAACACATCAGAATTTTAAAAACACAGCCCTCCTTCTACAGCTGTCGCCACTGTTATAAGCCCTCCCACCAGACGAGCACGCTCCTCAAGCACATTAACACAATCACTTGGGATTGCATCCCTACTCTCCCACCTGAAAGTTATCTGTCTCACTCATTGTGCCACCACATCCTAATCTCACTACAGAGTTTGTTGTTATTTTATTACTGGCTCACCTCTCCTGGGTAAAACATTTGACATTTTTTCCAAAGAGTGGGTAGCTATTACAACCACTGCTAACCAGATTCCTGAAGGAAACAAAGAAAAACTATATCACAAGATAGACAGCTAAAAGGAAAACCGTTACCTCCTTGATCCAGTGCCGGTACTCATTGACTCCAAAGGTCTTCTTAAGATAGAGGCCGTAGATATATCCTGAGATTCCCTTCAACACCCACTCATCAGCCCTTCAGAAGTAACAACATGTCAGCTCACTGCTATCTTACAAAATACAAAATATTACAAAATATTCGTGTGAATTTATGCACAGGTAACAAGTACATTTAAAGTTTATTGAATAAAGTCCTCAGGAATTACTTAGAGGGAATTATTGCACAATGGCAGTAAATGGCATCCATTTAAGTTCATGATTTTTAAGTGAATTGCAGTTGAAGTCTGTGATTCTGGAGAGAGATTGTTGGTGCTTAGCTAGGAAGCATAGATCAGTCTGAAAAACCTTCCTATTTACTAAGCCCACACACAGAGTGTGGAGACACATTTACTGAGTTAGATAAAAAGTGTGGTGGATCAGAACTGCATACTCCGCCTTTAACTTCTAATGTATGTGATTTATGGCACTGAAAAGGGTTTAGCTCATTGTTCCACCTTCTCTTTGTGGTGTGTAGTCATGTACAGGGTAAATATAGTTGTGTGAGAGAGCATCTGTTGATTACATCCCTGCTTTGAGCACTTTCATTGTGGACAATGTCTTGAAATGACCCTGGGCCAAACCTGAAACGCGTCATTTTGCAACCATAAGCTTTACCCTTGGGTACTTCTTGGTTGAAAATTACCATGGCACAACATTGCTTCCATAAATTCATAAGCCACAAATTATTCGCTTGTATAAAAAAAAAGACACTGGTTTCACTGAGTGACACTGAGTTGAATCCAGACTGGCTTACGTAGTGAGGATGATTTCATCCATATATCTGTTACAATCAACATTGTGGAGGGACGTATTTTCCGATAAAGATTAGATCCTCTTTGTTCTAAGACTCTATCTATGGATCATATTATGACTAAAAATTTAGAACTGTAGAACGCTTAAGCTATGAATTTCCTTTCTTTTATGATCTCAGCCTCACAGCTGTGAGAAAGCTTTCATGAAAACAACCCCCAGCTTCAGGGTTGGAAAACTGCAAAATGCCCTAAAACTCAGCATGACAGACAACAAAGCCCTCAGTAACTGTAGGTCAGGTCTCTCTTAAGAAGACATTCATTAAGAAGAAATCCATTATCTTCTACACCCACAAAGCACAAAAACAGTAACCCAATGTCTCATAACCAACTTTGCCATTTGCCAATTTTTATAGATTTAGTAAAGAGCAGTTCTTCGTTACCTTGTGCCTTCCCTTTAATACGTCTGTCAGGCTACTGAGCTTGGCCTGTTTTCAATTACAGGCCAGAGTTAACCCCCACTCTGATTAATTGCTAGCAGGCAGCGCCATGCTTTGTTAAAATCAAAGAGATCTGACTTTCTTGAGGTTTTTTTTTTTTTTTTTCTTACACAACACCAGCCAGCTCAACAACATAAGCAAACCAAGGCCCAACATCTGATATATGTTTAGAGGTCAATGAGGAGAAAAAAAGGAACAGAAGGTAAATGGAGGATGAATGAGGTAAATGAAGGACACCATGTTTTTCCACAGCATTAGCAGAACGATAGAGTGTTAAAGTCCTGCTGATGGGCCTCTACACACAACCAAACCTCACTGAATCACTCAGTCTCTCATGGACACCGACCACGCTGGCAAAGTTGCAGAGCAGTAACACAGCAATCCATCATGTTGGGGAATACAGTGATTCAGGCCAGGGCTGGCCTGACTTCTGACTCCTAGTACTGACAAAATAGCTTAGTTCTGTTGTAAATCTTTCATCACCAGCCTTATATGAAAAGGTCTGAGCACTAAATGTTACCACACTTTTCAAAAAGACCAGAATGCAGTGGGAGAACTTCTGGTTTGTATGTTACACGGGTATGCTTCCAAACAATAATGACAGTTCTTTTCCATTACTTAAAAAGTTGGCCTCTGAAGCTGATCATGCTCTGTCTCAGAATGCTTTGTACGAGCTATTTCTTCAAGCACAACTAATGTGATCATATCTAAATGCAAAAGTGTGTATGCCTGTTCCAGATCACCACCTCAAAGGTTGCCTGCTGTTACACAGGCAGAAAGAGGGAGACATGATGAACTGTAACAACACACACTTTTGGACAATCTCTCCTTGAAGGTGTTGACAGTTTGTAAGTAATTATAGAGAGAGTAAAAAAAGACAAGATATGTCTGCAGTATCAAATAATAGGCTTGCTGCAAGGACATTATCTCTTCAGTTAATGCAAACCACATTGATAAACCAAGCTTCGTGGTGGAGACACTGTGAGATCTTGTAAATTTCACCATCTCAAGTGCACCATTCAACTTCTAGCCATCAGTCCAATGTTTATACTGCTGAAAATAGGTTAATCTATGTTTTGTTAGTTTCTTTGCTTTTGTTTTATCTTAGTTTCTTTCAGGTAATGACAAATGCACCCACATAGTGCAGACACTGTTTATACTGACAGGCAGTCAGGAGTTGCTGTTTGAAAATGGAGGTTTTTAACAGGAAATTTGACTTTAGCTGCATTTCTATTTGAAGTACCTATAAGTTTTTGTCCCACACTTTCAAGGAACGAAAAGATTCCTTTTGACTACCGGTTGACAGTGTTCCCAACGCAGCTGAAAGATCCCTAAAGATAAGGCAAATAGTGCACTGATGAATAAGAAAACAATGGCTTTTATACTCATCTTCTTTGCATTTAACGATACATCAGACTGCTCCACTGCAGTCTGTAGGTGGCGGTAAGGCTGATGTTGATTGTAATTTATTCTTTGCAAATACGGTTGCTGATTCAATGCTAAAAAAACACAATCAGTAGTAGCAAAGCAGATTCAAGACGGTGGAAATGCTCAACTGAAATTAAGCAAATGGACTGACTGTAAGATGACGGAGACATACTGGCTGAAATAAAATGATGCAAGTACTCAACTAATCAGAATGCAAGCACCGTCCCCAAAGTTCCTGAACTGTCAGAAAGTATGACCCCCAGAGTTCCTGCAGTGGCAATGAGTTCCTTCAGAGATTCTAAGAACACGGGTAAAGTTCCTGTGGTGGACACGTGGCTTCTGTGGGCTGGACCTCATGTCTCAGGTTTTTGCTTTGCAATTATCAAAAGTTCAGTCTCACCATGACATCCTGGAGATGAAACAGCCAAAGAACTGCTGAGCCAAGGCCTGAGCCAGACAACGGCGAGTCTGTGGGGTCTGGTCTATGATCATAGCACTGTGGAGCAGGTTGGTACTGAAAGACAGAGGCAACAGCTAAAGTTTCAGACTGAATGAGAGAAATCGTGATAAAAATGCAACATGACCAAAACCTGCATTAGTGACAGTCAATGGTAAATTATCGTTGGGGAATATATGTCATGTTTTTATAGCTGCTAATTAATTGAGCCAATCCCACCTTTATCTCAAAGACAAGGGACCATGGGCATACAAACTATCTCATGGCCTACCTGAAAATACTCATAGACGCACAGGAGGACACCTGAACATAGGCCTCATCCACAAACACAGTTTTGAAACAGGAATAAGGATAGCGGCACGTCAGGATCTCCTCGTAGAACTCAAAAATCTCATGTAGGTAGGACATGGAGTGTTTGAGCAGAGGGAGCAGCTGTGGCAGGCAGAAATGGGTCACCTGAAAGAAGACAGTACAAAGTACAATGGTTTTATAAAGGCTTGTTGAGTGTAACAATGAGATGAAAATGATGGCATCACAATACCTAATGAATATTTCTGTCAGTCATTAATCTTATGTTTACTCATTTTAGCTCATAAAATGTCAAAGTTGCATGGTGAAAAATACCTTAATAATTTCTTGGAGGCAAAGTATATAAAAAAAAAAGAAGTCCAAAACAACAAGCAGAAATTCCTCATATTTTGTGAGTTTCCATGACACGGTCCCCAGGAACAACAGTTCCTAGTAAAATTACTTTTACAATACTACCAGTACAATTCACATAGCTAGGTTGTCTATATACCTCTCTAATACCAACATGCTCTACTTCTCTACTGTGAAACTGCTTGACTTAAATTCATACTGCTGTCCTTTTGAAAAACATTTGGTCGAGAAGGAGACCTTTGTTTGTGTGTCACCTTGTGTGTAGCGACATCTAGTGGTCATTAACAGAAAATACAAAACATTACAACTGAGGGTTGCATGAAGCAAGATTATTGGGTTAGCAGGGTATGCTGATCCTAAAGTCAGAGCTTTCAATGTCATAAAAGTGGCTCTCTTTCAACCTGGCTAGATCACCATGATAGATTATGCTGCACAGCCAACCTGCTCATGAGGAATTTATGTTCAGTTTCAGATTTAAATTAGCTGTAAGAAGCATCTCACTCTCACCAATTTGTTTCCTGACAATTCTCTATAAGTGAAACAGATTCTCAGCTGAGAGAATATGTTATATGTGATGAACTTTTGAGCTGTGTGTTAGCAATCCCACTAAACAAGGCTGTGCAGTTACAGTTTTGCACATCATATGCACTGTGTTGCCAGGGGAACACAGATTAATTCAGTTGGTGATGCAGAAAATGCATAAATATATATTAAAATTTGGTCCTGATTTGCTACCAAGACCATTTTATACTGCTGGTACTGCAGTTAACAGAACACAGATTAGAAATCTGATAGTCTGCTGATATGTATCAAAGAGAACAATCAAAAACATTAATTTCACTTTGATTCAGCCAAAACTAAAGTGATATCCATCATTTTGGGACAGATCTAAATGTGTCTAATGTGCAGCTGTCACATTAGAATAGGCAGCTGCTTTGAGGGTGTGCTGCGTGTTAAAAACAAGATATTAGTTGACACCATGAACAGTGTTCTATCAGCATTCCTTTCATGTATAATTTGTATGAACAGCACTTTATAATTACTATAATCCATTTTTATATCTTTTTCAGCTGAAACAGACAGTCAGACGTAATACAATGAACAAATGCCTAATCAGCATCCTATGTTACTGCTGGTGTCATAGGGATAGTTTGAAACTTTGTCTGATGGTTGCTTTGTAAATGCAATCTCAGTGTGTGTATTGTAGTAAAAAAAAAAAAAAAAGTTTCAACTTAACTTTTGCCGGGATTACTTTTTGTTCTCTGTTTTATGTTTCATTTTTTATTGATTCTGTATGGTTTGCATAATTACTTACAGACAGAGAGAAAAGTTACTATTATTTGTGTTAAATGATGTTGAAACCATGCAGGGTGGCGCAGTTGGTTAGCACCGTTGCCTCGCAGCAAGAAGGTTGCCGGTTCGCGTCCCGGTGGGGGCACCGGAGTTTGCATGTTCTCTCCGGGTTCTCCGGCTTCTTCCCACACATTCCAAAAACATGTTGAGGTTAATTGGTGATTCTAAATTGTCCGTAGGTGTGAATGTGAGTGTGCTTGGTTGTCTGTCTCTAAGTGTAGCCCTGCCATAGACTGGTGACCTGTCCAGGGTGTCCCCTTCCTTCACCCTAAGTCGGCTGGGATAGACCCCAGGCCCCCCGCGACCCTAGTGAGGATTAAGCGGTGTATAGATAATGGATGGATGGATATTTAAACCCACCTCGTGCATGTAGGGGTCTACAAGGATTTCAAAGGGCCCAACCGCCAGGGAGATGTTGGGGGCTGCAGTGGGGATGGGAAGGACATAGTGGAATGTCTTCTTCCTCATGTCATGGGTGTAGATGGTCTCCACCAGATCCCCACATGACACCGCCACCATGGACGCATCCACAGTGAACTCTAACTTCCATGTACACAGCTCTGAGTAAGAGTCCACGCAGGGGAACCAGAATCTGGGGGAGGAGACAACATTGTGAGTACAAAAAAAGAAATAAATGCAATCAGTACTGGTCACACAATGGTTTGAAGACGGAGAAAACTGAGGACTTCGGTGTATTTTGTATTTTGTTATATAACTTCTTACAGGAGTAGCATTTTGTCTAATCTCAACACAATGGCAACTTAAAAGGGTGAACCAACAAGAAGTCAGTTCAGTTTTACATAATTTAACCGCCATTGTGGAGCTACAGAATGTGCTGAGAAATATTCAAATACTGTAAACCAGGATTAGTTATTGTTTCTAGACCTTGTGGAGTTCTGATATCCAAAAGAGAACACATGGGCTCCTCTCTCAGCCATGCTGCCTTCCACATCAGGAACAACAAAGTGGAGACCCCCTTTTGGCTGGTCCAGGGAAAATTCTATATATACCTTCAACACTTTTAGATCTGGAGACACAAAACACAAAATGTCTGTCGTATCAGTCATGACCTTACATAGAAACTTCTCACATATTTTAAGGAAAATTGTTACTGTGATCCTATTACTTCACTAATATGTATAGATCAGCAAAAAACACTTTTTACAGTGTATGATACCAAAGAACTATGGGGGCCTTTCACATTTTCAGTTGTCAAAGTCTTACCATCTCCTTGTTTCCAAAGTTCAGATGGAACTTTGATGACCAGCTCTCCGTGTCCTGCGTCAGGGTCCACAGCACTCACTGCTGCTGTGTAGGCACTAGAGAAATAGTTCAGGTTCCTCCTACACAATAAAGATTCAGATAAAATAGTCACATCACTGCTATACATCACACTACAGTTCCTTTTTAAGCAGACACACAGTGATAATATTGACAATAATATACCCAGCCCATGTAAAATACAAAACAGCTACAGGAGCCTTAATATAAAGAGATTAATTTGAGTTTCTTACCAAAACTCCTCAGCAAAAAAGCGATATTGTTTTAGGCAGTAACTTACAGTCACATATTAAACAAAAGTACAAATTGTGAACAGTAAGTTGGACATTAAATTCAGGAATAGTCTACAGATTAAGAAAACTATACGGTTACATTGGGTTTGGGCTATTCCAGTGAATTTAATAATTGGCAAACCCAGGTAATTCAACATTCTGGCCAAGATTGAATCGTTCTCTATGTTGAGGATAGTATATAACTACAAGTCATTTGTGAAGTGACCAGTGCTGTAGTTCCATGTGCACAAATGCAGCTTTTTTTTGCTTTCAAGATGCTCATGTGGATTCTGCTGCTTTCTGCTGCTGCGGGTATTAAACTCTGTCTATGGTGTTTTGGATGAATACAGGTGCTAAAATGTGGAAACACCTTGTCTTTATCACTTCACACAACTCAAAGTACCATTTCTTGTGCATTACTATCCAATAATGTGACTGCATGCAGATCAGCCATGTAGAGAGTGATACAGAAATGTTACTAGGTCCAACCTTTAAAGGCTGCTGTTTGGGTGCACATTCAGTCATAAAACCAAACAGTTCAGCTGCCAGATTAACAGAAAGGAGTGCATGCCTGAAGGGGGCTTTAGTAGTGATTCAGTCATTCATATTTAGGAGCAAGCGAGTCACTTTGACATATTTAGTATGATGGTTAATTACTTGACTCAGTGGCTTGGTTTGGATTGATTCCTTGGAGCTGATAAAGCAAAAATATCATGGCAGTCATTTTGCCATTTTAAAACTCCTAAAAACATGACTGGTGTTCATCATAATCACTTACTTTTAGTTGATGCCATTTGGCTATTTATGCAACTATTCAACTACCTAATGTTTGCTTATTTTGAAAGCTCTGATTTGACCACATGGAGTGTCCACTAAAAACTAAAAGGATATGGTACAAATGATAACATATGATTTCACAAGACCACATTCTTTGAATTGTGCTTTTAAAGAGTGCAGCGGACTGATATACTCACTGCTTGGACTCATGGTGGCACACTTCCAGTGTGGGGTCATTGTAAATGAATGGGGCTTCAAGCTCATTGACTCGGACCCGGTAGATGCGGCACTGTTTACTGTTAAGCTTGATCCTGTTCAAGTTGACCACTGTGGGGAAAATGGTCAACTCAACATACCCCTGCAATAAAGAGAATGATGTTAACAAAAAAGGTTTGATTCATTGTAAGGACAAGAAACATAAAGTGAGGTGCTAAACAGGATCTGTGCACAGAAAGGAGTAACAAGAGTCTTTCAACATCCTTGTGACGTGTGTTTGTTATACAGTAACAATCAAAAAACTGACACACAGGCCTACTTAAAATTAACAAATACAAATTATGATACAAAAGACTATTGAGTCAGCACAAATTTTTAGTATTATAAGTTCATGGTACAGTAAGTTATAATCTTTAATGCAGTTAGTGATTCTCCCTGGCTGGATGAATGTGATGTGAAAACAAATGGACAAAACAGCAGGAAACATCTGTCAAAAGGATAGCTCTTCCTCTTAAATTTTTTACAAAAGGTAGGTAAGTGAAAAAGATGCAAACAAGTTCATTAGTTGTTCTGTAAGTACAACAAAATGACTAAACAAAGACTGCAGAGCCACTTCCATGTTTTCTTATGACTGTACTCACTATGACAGACTTCCTCTGGAAGTTGATGTTGTTGATGCACACCGCCTGGTGGGTCGTAAGAGCAATGACAGAACAGAAAAACTATTAATACGTGATATACCGCAAACTTAACGAGTTAAACACTGTTTCTCTGTAGTAAGCCCTGTTTTTGAGTTTAAGTGACATGAAGTGAATGCTTGCACTGTCTGCCAGAGTTCCTCATTTTAAGCTACTGTTAACTTCACTACAGTCGAACATGACAGCAACACGTTTCATTCATTTTACGCGACCATGATAAAAATCATTCAAAGATACTTATAATTTAAAGGGGCGTGGGCTCTCAAATCCTTTGTCCTTCTTCCTGTTCATCCTCGTCTCTCGTTGTTGTGCCTCAGAACTTTTAACATGCCATAACTCCGCTCCGTGATGCTTTCTTCTCTACAGTCGTGCGGAGCTGCTCTGTTATGTCAAGCTGCAGCAACTTCGGGTATTTGATAGACAGCGACACGTAAAACCTGTGCCTTCTAGCACATTAACAATAACTTTATATTCAACAGCAGCAGATGATAGAGTCGGAGTCGAACGTAGAAGCCCGCAATGTGCCAGCCGCTGTAAGGAGGTTGTATCTTCGGTTTGTATCCTCCGGAGCTGTGCAGTGTTTTCATTGCAAACCCAGCGCACGCATTTCTGCATATAACTCGGCCATAAGCAACAAATGGTACTGTAACATTATAAAAGATAATAAGTCCAATCAGTAACTGCTCCACTCGCCGTGCATGTAAACATCCAACTATATCCTTACTGTCCGACTGTCTACAGCATTATGACTACAGCGCCTGTGTGTTCGGCCATTTTGTTACTAACCTTTGACCTCCCGCGTAAAAACAATACAATTATTTTTTTTTTTATATTAGAGTACAATCTCCATTTTTTAGAACCAAATGTAATACATGCTAGATAGAATGGTTTATAAATCAAAAGCCAAATATTCTAATTCTTTTTAATAAAAAATAAGGGTACACCTCTTTGCTGCGTCAGAGCTGGGCGGAGACTGTCTGGCTCACAGGAAGTGGACGTGCTCCGCGGGAGCGCGCACAGCGAAACTGCGGCAGCACTTGCCAGAAATGTGTTCGTTCACTGTAGTATGTGGGCAAGTAAGATTCACGTGCTGTTAGCAATAATTGAAGGTTTATTCAGTTGTCAGGGTGAAATTCATACACATAAAAGTAGTAATTAGTGAGGAAGCTTAGGAACCCTTATGTAATGAGGTTGGGCAGATGTGAAGGGTAGTGTGGGAGCTGACTGATCAGATTGCTGATAACTTTCACAGGGACCCTTTGTTCATTAGTAAGCACACTGTATTCAAACTGTAGAATAACACTGTTTTTGAAAGTAGATACACTGCTTAATCTGAGTAAATCACAATGCTAAATCACTCACACATTTACATCACATCCATTTTGAAATATTTCAGAGACAGATATGCCTATCTCAGTCTGAATGTAACTAAATGGTCAGATAGGAATGCTAGAAGATCATCATTTTTATTTTATGTCATTTATTTAATTTATTGGTTGTTTGTTTGCCCAAGCAGTCAAAGGAGGAGGAGAAACACATTTCAGCATGAAGCATTTATTTTGCACAGCACTGTGTATAAATGTTCTGGATTGTCCACATTAACAAAGTTTCTGTAAAGATGTGTTAGATCAGAATTTTTCTCAATGCTACATTTTTATTGTTGTGCCACAAGATAAGTTTCATTGTGCTGGCTGCATTACAGAGTTACAGTTGGAAACAAAAATGAACATACACTCAGAAAGACTATGTATATCATGTTAGTCTTGAGTCTCCAATCACAACTGTAACTTGGAATATTCTATGATGGAATCATAAAAACACATGCACGTTTCTCACCAAAATGTAACCTGCATTTTGTTTTTTTCCGTAGATAGGTCTTCTGGAAACATAACAAATCTGCAGGGTCAAAAGTATAAGTAGTGCAACTTGAATTATAAGTTTTGGTGATGTAGAATGCTGTGTCAAGCAAATTCCTTTTGTCAAGCTGAAGAAGCAAATCATTGACTAGAACAAGTTCCAATCTTAGCTTCGACTTTTCCCCTGTAGTGTTTGTGACTGATTCTACATTAGTGCATCAAATGGGCTCTATTTCAGTTGGCTGAGCGACATCAGTAGTCAATCCCAATTGGTCACGACAAGTTGAGAGGCCATGTCGCTAAAGAAATGTGAAAGCATATTGTTGCATCAAACTGACTTGATTTAATTCACAGAGTCGTATTCTAAAGATTTTAACCCACCCACTAATTTTATCTAAGTGAAATACTTTTTAACCACAAACACAAGTTATAGTGTAGTTTTTCAACCTGCCCAAATATGATTGCATGTCTTTCCTTCTTTCTGAAAGCATATGTTTGCATAAAAATTACTTGATTTAGTTTAGGGAGTCCTGTGTAGATTTTAGCCCACTGTCTCCTGTTTACCTGGTAAAATGCATTTTAACCACTAATACAAGTCCCATAGTGCAGTTTTCTACATGGAAAAAAGTTAAAAGTCACTTACCTTCTGTCTGTAACGTTATTTTGTTGTCAGAATGTCTTAAATTCATTCATAGGGTCCTATTTTAAATAGTTTTGCCAACCCACTCCTATTTATCAAACAAAACACCTTTTAATTACCAACACAACTATAATGCAGTTCTCCACTTGCCCAAAAGTGATTACATCTCCTATGCTTTGTCTGAATGCTTTTTAAAAAAAAAAAAAAATCAAGATAAGTTGAATTAATTTAGAGAGTCTTAATGAAAAGATTTTTAGCCCACCCACTCTTATTTATCTGGTAAAACACCTTTAAACCACCAATACAACTCATATATTGCAGTTCTCCAGCACTATGCTGAGTAGACATCGTATCTAATAAATACTTTATGCTTATCAAGCATTTACTGTCAGGTGCTCTTCTAAAGTCAAATGTCAGGCATTCAGTACCTTTGACAGTACTTACAAGTGCACCAGCATTCAATGACAACCTTTACTGACAACCTACACAATGTATTTACACAACTCTGGGTCAATCCATCCATCCATTATCTGTACACCGCTTAATCCTCACTAGGGTCACGGGGGGGCTGGAGTCTTTCCCAGCTGACTTAGGGTGAAGGCAGGGGACACCCTGGACCGGTCACCAGTCTATCGCAGGCTACAGTTAGAGACAGACAACCAAGCACACTCACATCCACACGTACAGACAATTTAGAATCACCAATTAACCTCAACGTGCTTTTGGACTGTGTGGGAGGAAGCTGAAGAACCCAGAAAGAACCCACGCTGCACAGGAAGAACATGTAAACTCCACGCAGAAAGTTCCCAGGGGCCCTCACTGGGACGCGGACCGGCAACCTTCTTGCTGTGAGGCAACAGTGCGCATCACCGAGCCACCTTGCAGCCCTAATTCAATTCAATTCCATTTCAATTGTATAGCACAGTTTACAACATATGTCATCACATAGCGCATATAGATCTTACAAATTTTAACAGAGAACCCAACACTCCAGAGTTGCCTTTGGACTTCCTCTGAGCAAGTGGTTGGCAACGGTGGGAAGGAACCAAAACTCCCCCCCGAAGGGTGGGGAAAAAAAACTCAGACCGAACCAGGCTCAGAAGGAGGCCATCTGCCTCGACCGGTTGGGTGAGAGTGGGGATGAGGGGCTGGGGAAAACAGGATAACAGATGGAGAGCAGCAATAGAACAGAACAATAAATACGAATATAAATATTCTTGGGGTTAGTGAGGCCAGCGACTGCAGGTCAGGGACATGAAGCTCCAGATCCAGAGACGTCCGCAGAGAGAACAAGCACAAGACCTCGGGGGAAACACAGAGTTAGTGATATTTAATGGTGGTTATAACTGTATGGAAGAGAGGAGAGGAAAGGACAGGAGCTCAGTACATCATTGGAATCCCCCACTGGAAGTTGTAGTTCTTTCTTCAAAATAGCCATTTCTCCTAAATGGAGAACGAAATCTAAAACTTTAGGTGCATTTAGGGGTTTAAACTGATGAGGAACATGTTCATTTGGGCTGACTTTACAAATGAAATTGATATATATAGGTGAATTCCTCAAATGACAAAGCGCAAACAAAGGTAATTTGCAAAGTTTGCACAGAGACAATTTGCACGTCAGATGGCAACATGATGAACTTGTTCAATCACTTGAAGAGAAAGCTCCCTAAACAATATGCTGAGAGCCAAACAGTGAGCGAACCACCGGCAGCACCGCAGTCAGAAGCAGCAGCTTCACCCAAACGGACAACGTTAACACAGGCATTTGGTAAAGGCACTCCATATGAGAAGACAAGCAAGCAGTGGAAAGAGGTAACAGAAGCAGTTACCTTTTATCTTGCAAAAGATATGGTTCCGTTCAAGACAGTAGAAAACGAGGGCTTCAAATGCCTGCTCAAAGTAGCTGACCCGCGCTACAAGCTGCCCAGCCGAAAATACTTTTTCAACACTGCCATCCCACGTCTCTACTCTGAATGCCGAGAAAAGATTGAACGCAAAGTTCAGAATGTCCAGTTTTTCACAACGAGTGATCTGTGGTGCAGCCGCACTTAGTCTCAAAAAATACATGAAAGATCGTGATAAAATCAAAATCATGATTTTATAATAAAAAAATCGTGATATGATATTTTTGCTATATCGCCCACCCCTACCCACAACAGAAAATTCAAAATGATCTGGGTCCAGTACTTAACATGTGTGTGTAGTAGAACTGATCCTTTGCAAGAGACTGAGCAAGTCAACTTCTCTGGTCCACTTTACCATCAAAGGTAGGAGTAACAGATGTGTGTGTGTGTGTGTGTGTGTGTTTAAAATTCTTATTATTTTGGTTGCACAATGCCCTAAAACCTTTTAAAACTATTTACAAATAGCAGGAGGTAATACCTTAGTTCTGTGTTAACAATGCCTAAGTAATTTTTTCAAAACTCCTGTCAAACCAGCCATGATAATGTTGTATGTCTACCATTCCAGTGAAGTGAAGGAATGTTGTAGAGTGATGGAAAAAGAAGTGAGAAAAGAATGGAGACCATTCAGTTGGTAGGTGGTTGTTGCGTTTATTGACTACTATTGTATAGATATATATATCTGCCTGCAGAGTTATCCTTGTGTATTGCCTCTTTCCAACCTTTCAAACCATCCTGTTTGACATCTCGTGACCACAAAGGCCATTATTATTCCACCTGTTAATGAAAATAATAAATTAGTCTTAGCAACCTTGTTAAACTATGGAAAATAGTATTTTGAGTGGAATAAACCTTTAAAACCTTAACTTGTTAGTTTAAAAGCACTATTTGGATGGAATAAACCTTTAAAATTATAGGCACTTAGACATGAAGTAGTTCTTTGTGTGGAATACATCTTGTATAAACCTTTGAAACTATAAATGTATTTTGAGTGAAATCATCCTTAAAAGCCGTAAGTGACAAACTTTAGTGTCATGGGAAAAAAAGACTCTAAACGTGTGGACTGAGAAGTGCAGCTCTAAGTGCAGTTAGTCTCCGGGGCTGCAGACACACTGTAGGCATGGCCCAACTAGCCAGCAGCAGAACCAAAAAATGTCCCTCTGTCCACTACTGCCACCAAGTGGACACACAAAGAAGTAGTTGCCAAACTACCAAACAGTGGAAAGATCACATTTCCAAAGTGAGGCCATTTTTTTTACTTTAAACAAAAATAAATGCACATAATTTACTCTAGCAAAGTAGATTATGTAGCATTTATTTTATTTTATGTTATTCTTGTAATATTCTGATGATTTTGCTCAAGACTTTATTTCATACTCATGGCTTTTACCTGTTATAATCTTTTTTTTCTTTTTTTTTAAAAAAGTGTTTTAAATTTTTCCTTTTAAAAAAAAAAAAAAATTTTTGTATCTTCCAGGCTATTGTTGCCATCTTGCATTTATCAATCACTTCTTAAGACGTATCGTTCCTTGGTTTTCTGATTTTTTTTTTCTAAATTATTTCAAGACCAACCTACAAGAAACGATCCAAATTACATGATACAGTAGTATCTTAGAGGGGGATGGGATGAACATTTCTAACAGTGTAGCAGGTAACTTGAGATAATGTACAATAGATTTACAGGGCAGGGATGGGAACATCTCAGAACTTTTAAGATTTCTTAGTGAGAGGGAGTTGTAGATACTGTACATTCACCTGCATACTGTGAAACGTCTTCAGCAGTGCAGAGGACAGGGGGCGTCCCAACATTGGGGAACCAGGTGAGGATGGTGGCATTGACTGCATTCCACCTGCCCCTCTCTGCATCTACGGGGGACCGGGGATTGCAACAGATCATCCACCAGTACTTCCCCTCACCTGCTGGATAACTGAATGCCCTGGTGGAAGGACTGTGTGCAGCATGAGCTTTCTAAAATATCTTTAACTACACCTAATAAATAAAAAAAAGTACTTTCCTCTGTACGTTACATACTCCTTACTGTAAAATCCATCTCAAGATGCGCCAAGATCCAACTTTTTAGTTAATCTGATTGATCTCTGATTAATTAGAGATTATTTGAAGGAATGGAGACACAAACACTAAATCAAATAGCAAACACAGCAAAGTCCATTGCTGTGATGACTGATTACAGGCTCCAAACTCTTCTTCCTGAAGATGTTTATGGATTCTAATTTGACAAGCAAACAGTAGAACTCCTGTCTTTCGCCACAGCAGAGAATTGAAGTTGTCATAGCTTACTTTCAGAAAGACATGGACCCAGCTGTCATCCCGCCTCTTTGTTGTGGAAAAGTTTAGTTCATAAATCATCAAAGAACCTTCCAAGAGACACAATGATACTACAGTAACAGAAGTAACACAGTCCAACAGAGGGATGTATACAGAATGCTGGTAAATCAGTTGTATAAATGAAAAAAGTGGCTTGTGATATCTGTATCTCCACAGGCTGCAGAATATTTTTAGATGCCTCACAGCATATAAAAATATAATAGATATCTGTAATGCATCCCAGAACATTAATAATTAATGTAAATAGTTACTTCCCACCATATTTGGTCAATTGAACCTTGTTCACTAGCTTATACAAACTGATGCAGAAAAAGCACAGATTGACTGCAGTCAACAAACCAAGGAAACAGCCTGGAACTGAGATCTGAGCAGGAGAAGTTAAAAAAAAGTAGAGTATTGTGTTTTTTCAACACTATGAAAGTATAATACTGCATGCAGGTGAAACACATGCTCACAACTGAAATGTTGCAGGTGCAAGCAAAGGGCTTTTTTGACCCCCTATAAATTTTATTTTCCTGCAAGTGTGACAAATCCTCTGACTTTTGTGCTGTCTCACACTGAGATACATAGAAAGAAACAGGATGTTTTAATCAAGAACAATTTATCCAATGAACATGAGGAGGTGATGGGATTAAATATTTTCAGACAAACCTAGTTTAGGGTAATAATCTAATTTAACACTAAGTTCAGCGCAGTAGGACACCTGCCTAATATGGAACAAGAAAAGCCGTCCTGCTTTTGTGTAACTGGCTGAGTTTGCTTGGAGACTCCAAAACACAAACAACAGGAATTTCACATGCTGCTTTGTTCTCGCTGAACCCCCCGGTATGCATTCTTGGAGCGACATCAATAGATTAGAGTATAATTCTTGTGCCTGTCAGCAAGAAAAATTTAATTTGTCAGCTGTCTTGGCACAGTGTCAGGAAATGTTTGACTGTGTGACCCCAGGGCCCAGTAGGAGTGTGATATGAACGGAGGGTGTATAAATGTCCAGCCAGCAGTGCGGGGCCACAGTCTGCCTGCCTGAGGAGACTGTCACACACACCTCCAGCAGAGAAAAGGTAAGACAAAAGGTCATTTTCTGAGGATAGTTTTACTTTGACACAGGTGTTGGAGAGTTCAAACTTACAAGAAATACTGTCTACTTCACCAGATTACACGGAACCAAAATGTGTTAAGAATCTGAGAATTTAACATTTTTAATTTATTTTTTTGTTCTTGTTGTTAGGGTTGCAATGTTGGAACAAAGCCTCATGTTCACAACATGTTCTAAACCCCGTCTGTGGCTATGGATGTGTTCACTGTATTGAAAGAGTATTCTACATGAAGTAATGTTTTTTTTATACAGTCATCTGCAGAATTACTAATTCAGTTTGTGACTCTCCCAACAGATGAATCCTCAAGTTCTGCTCTCCATCTTGCTGGTCATTTCTACTGTCCGTAGTTTCCAGTACACAGAGCTGGTGCAGTATGTTGACAACCACCAAGAAGAATATGTAGAGGTACAAAATATGCTTCTCTTCCAACATGACAGTCTTCCTCATAGTTAGTAAAACATAGAGCAACCAAATGTGGTGCAAAATGACATGAATCATTTTCACAATAATGTTACAAGGATTGTAGAGTAAGTTGTAGTGTTGTGTAAGTTGTAAAGAATTGATGTTGTAACTACTTGAATAACAATTTAGAACTAATTGATAATTATTCCAACGAAAGGATTAAGCAGTGTATTAGTGTGCATGTCGATAATTAAAATAAAGGTTTAGTTTTCTTCTTTTTAACATGATAACTTTCCCTTGACTGTGATTTTGAAGAAAAAATATATTTTGAACAATATTAAAAATACTGAGCACAAAGCAAGTATCAAGAAGCTACTCATTTACTTTCTCCCAAGATATCGCAGGAAATGTGCTTAGGAGTTTTAATATGTAGTCTGGCAACTACCAGTCATTAAAATAATGTTTATGATGAAAAGGAAATGATGTGACCAGTTTTGGAAACTAGGTGGTGCTGCTGCTGCCTAGTATATAACTCATGTAGAAAGTTGAAAAACCCCTTAATTAATTGTGTACACTAAATGTAGATTCATTGAATATAAGCTTTTAGACATTATTTTGAATATCCAAGCCCTTTGATATTTAAAAAAAATCTTTGTTTAGTCAATCAGTTTCATTGCAAATGCAATGACATTCGGGATTTTCTGCTCAGCTTTTGTTCTCGATTTGATCTGAATCATTTAATATGTAATATCTGCCTGTACCCAATACCATTTTTCTCAATAATGCGCTCTTCAAATATTGTAGGTCAGCTATATTATTAGAGGAGGTGGGCACTTCTGTGTGAGCAAGCATTGTGGGAGTTTAACTAGTAAAGGACCACCATGACAAGTCTGTACTGAGGCTAAATGACTTACAGCCAGTCACAAGTATCGTATAATGCAGGGAAAAACTGCACAATTGCTTCATAGTTTGAAGAAGGCAGGCAACGTTTAATTCTACACAGAAACGCTTTTCAATTTTTTAAATATTATGACATGCTGGTGGCATTAACTCCTTGCCTGTTTCACACATAGTGTTCTATATTAAACGTGAACTTTGATCATATCTGACTAAAGCATCAAAGTGTTTAGACACAGGGAGCAAAACAATTCATACAAATAAGCAAGGCCCCTCATAGCTAAAAAATGGCAGAAGAATAATTGAAATTGTGTGAATAAATAGCTCTGCTTCTAGTTCTTTCCTTTAGAACCCCTGATTTAAAGTGACTTAAGAGTGCATCTTAGGTTTTGAACAGTAGTGTGCAGCAAAAAGGATTTATTATATACAACTGTGTGGCAGGGGATTACGTCAGTTCAGTGAAGGTATTCTGAATGTTGTGTGTTTGTATGTGTGTTTCAGACTCTGAGGGACTGGGTTGCAATTGAAAGTGACTCCAGCAATGTCCTTAAGAGACCAGACCTACACCGTATGATGGAGATGACGGCTCAGAAGCTGAGACTGATGGGAGGGACTGTAGAGCTAGTGGACATCGGAGAACAAGAAGTCAGTGACACAGGCATCTCTCTCAGCAAAAACCAGCGCCCTTCCTGTCTTTCATTAGCGCTGTTTGAAATATTAGAGCTTTGTATATAATCATCAGCCTAATTGGTTCGTAAATGTTTCGCATTTCATACAGACGTTGGCTCATCAGGCAGGGTGACAGTGGCAATGAGCTGCTTACTTTAAAAAAGCAGTGGAGAGGTCAGGACTAAATCTCCCTCCTCATTACTGATTGAGACACATCAAAGCTGTTTCCCAAACTCATTAAACATATAGTGTATTTGAGGTCAAACTAGAGGTCAACATCCTCAGCTTCTCACCAGTAATTAGTAGCAACATAACATGAACTGTTTCTGTAATGTATTGTCTTACTGAATGGTAAAAACAACAGCTGATGATCTTTTGACATCAAACCACGGTATGGGGATGTTACACACTGCGGATCATTGAAATTCCTTTGATATTTGAGAAATATGCACACAGATTGAGTGGGTAGCTAACTCAGCACTGGTCTATACTGCTGCAACGCATAAAAGCAAAGCTCTTGATGCACCGTGGGGTTCCACAGAAGCTGAGTTGACTTTAAAATCAAAAGTATTGAGGGATGGTAAACAAACTATAAGAAACTGTGCAGCAATTTGTGCTGATCTTAGCTCTCCTTTTGTATCTGCAGCTTCCTGATGGGCAGACGCTGGCGTTGCCTAAAGTGGTGACAGCTCGGTTTGGCACTGACTCCAGCAAGTACACAGTGTGTGTTTACGGTCACGTGGATGTTCAGCCAGCAAAGCGAGAGGACGGCTGGGCCACAGATCCATACAACCTGACTGACATCAATGGTAACAGCATTTAAGCTCTTCAGATGTAATATAAGCCCATCCTATACAGCTGAGCATTGTTCAGACTCACAGAATGTTGGTTGGAATTTTAGTGATTCTCAAGTTTCCAAAAATGCCAATGTGTCAGGTGAGTTGTGATGAAATTTGTAAAAAATTATACAAAGAGTATGTAGAATATTTTAAAATAATGTCTTGGTGCAACCTTAAAAACACTGGGTTATAGGTTTGAATATCTTATTCAGTATGAACATTATATACTATAAATAAAGAATTATTCATAAAGTATCAAATGAAAGATACTTTAGGAAAGCAAGTAACTCATGAGACATATTATTTTTATTTTATGAATAGAAATAGGGCAATAGTTTCAACTAAATAAAACAACCTAGATGTGTACTTTTTTGATGAGATGACTGTTAGCTGATGTCAGTCCTGAAACACTGACTGATTCAGTTTTTTGAGGACCAACAACCGAAAATTCTAAAATGTTTAGTTTTAATCCAAAAAATGGCACCTATTCAGCATTTTGCTCCAAAGTGTGAAAGATTATGAAATACCTTTGTAGATTCTTTTATGATATTCTGATTAATTTAAACTAAAGTCACAACAGCTTTTACAAAAACAGCATCAGTCACACTATACATTTAAATTCATATACAAAAATATTATGTTAACCGACTGAAGAAACAGTGAATGTAAAATAAACTGTCACTAAAGACTCTTGGGACTGAGATGTGAGCAGCAGATCCTCTAAGTCCTGGAAGTTGTCAGGTGGGGCCTCCATGGAGTGGACTTGTTTTTCTAGAACATCCCACAAATGCTCAATTGGATTGAGATCTGGGGAATTTGAGGCCAAGTCACCTTGAACATCTTGAACCCTTTTTCTTGTTCTTCAAACCCTTCCTCAACATTTTTTGCAGTGTGGGAGTGTGCTTTATCCCTTTGAAGTAGGCCTCTGTCACCAGGGAATACCGTTGCCCTGAAGGGGTGTGTGTGATCTGCAACAGTGTTTAGGTAGGTGGTACATGACAAAATAAAATCTACATGAATACCAGGACCCAAGGCGTCCCAGCACAACTTTAACACCCAGACAATCACTCTGCCTCCACCGGCTGCCCATTGTGCACATCCTGTTGCCATCTCTTCCTTAGGTAAACCTCCCACACACCATCTACAAGATTTCACAGAAAACATGATTCATCAACCCAGACCACCTTCTTCTATTGCTTCTTGGTCCAGTTCTGTCATTGACAAGACATAGGTGTCAGCATGGGCACTTTGACTGGTCTGGGCTGTGCAGCAACTTGCAATGCACTGTGTTCTGAAACTTTTCCATTGTAGCCATCATTAAAGTGGGATGGGACCACATGGGCCGGCCTTGGTTCCCCATGCACAGCAGTGAGCCTTGGATGTCCTTTCTCACCAGTTGTCCTCCCTTGGACCACTCTTGGTTGGTACTAGCCACTGCACATTGCGTACACCCCACAAGACCTGCCGTTTTGAAATGATCCGACTCAGTTGTATAGCTGTCACAGTTTGGTCCTTGTCGCTTGAACTCTTCTGCCTGCTCACTTTTCCCGTTTCCAACACATCAGTTTCAACAACTGACTTAGATAAACCACTGACAAGTTAGGTGTGTATATATGTGTGTCTATATATATACATGAGTCGACTTTTTAAAACTTTTCTTTTACTTTAATTTCTACAGTTCTATAGTCTTGTTAAAGAGGAGTTTTTCTTTCCTCATTGCTAAAGAGTTTGCTCAAAGGAATCGTTTGGATTTATTGGATTTCTCTCCTTAAAATCATATTGGTCAGACATCAATTTACTATATAAAGTGCCTTGAGATGATTTATATTGTGAGTTGGCACGATATACACAAACTGAATTGAATGTAATTGACATGTAGTAAATGTAAACATAGTAGTTTTTTGTCTACTTTTTAAATCTGCAGTTGTTTCAGCTACAGCCATATTCATTGTATCATATAATCTCCCGTATGGCAACTATGAGAGAAATGTTCCACCAGAGGGATCAATCAAAACATAGAAAATGATTTTAGTAGATCAGTGTCTTATGGCTAACACTAATGAATGCTAAATATTTCAGTGCTGTGAAATTGATGGACAACTTTACAGAGTCTTAGTGTCCACAGAGTTACAGTGTCATAAAGATGTGTAAAGCTATTGAACTGGTAATGAATTCACTATATTGAATATTGGAACATAGATTGCTGTCTTTGTCCGCACATAAATGACTGATCATAAAAGCAGTAACATTAATGAAAATAGACCTCAGGTAACACTTTAATATCCAACTGGGATTTTAAATTTCTCCTGATGTAAGCTTTTGCAAATTATTGGCCTCTGATATGGGTTCTGACGGTATGAATGAGGAAAATAAAGCAGTTTGTCAAGCAGCTGCTTCAGGCTCAGCAGGAGGGAAGGAGACACAGAGACACTCAGGTATGTTGAAAAAAGAACCTGCCAGCAAGTAGGTTAGCCTCAGAGCGCTACAGTTGTCTCAGTAACCAACCCATAGTTCAAGTCACCCCTGTTTTGGCCAAACCTGCTTTCTGAAATTCCACCCAGTTGTCTGATAATAATTATGAATAAACTTAGAATATGTGTAACTGCTTTACAAAAGACATGAACCCCAGATGAGCATAGATATAGATGATCACTGTCAAATATACACAGTATAAAAACTATGAAAGAACTAGTGTGTAAGATTTAGTGGCATCTAGCGATGAGGTTGCAAAATACAATCAGAAGTCTGTTCTGGGCTACTGTAGAAGCATAGCGTGCTCTGCAGAGGAGGACCTGCTTTCTGTGTAGGTATGAGCTACAGTAAACACAATGATTACAGGTGATTACACAATAATGAAAATGCAATTTTGAAAACTGTTTTCCATTTGGGCTAATAGAGCCCCCTAAATCCTACATGCCAGTTGTTCACCTGCCTACAGCTATAATAGATAAAGATACAAAACACTGAAGCTGCCAAGAATTCATTCTCCATTGTAGTTATTTTAAAAACGGAGGCTGTTTTGAAGGCAAGACCTATATAATAAATAAAAATAATGATTGTTGTGTTACTTCCAGGTAACCTGTATGGAAGAGGAGCATCAGACAATAAGGCCCCAGTTTTGGCCTGGATCCATGCTGTAGAGGCCTACCAGGCCCTCAATATGGTGAGAGCAAGTTTACTATCATACTGGATACGCTTTTATACCCCAGATGAATAAAATCAAATGTGTAATGGAGCTGAAGAGGAATCAAAACCTCAAGTCAGACTGAAGGACAGATGACAGCATTTACTGTATCACCTTAATTTAAAAACATTTGAAAATAAAGAGGGGAAACAGAGAGGTGCTTTGGACAGGATAGATTCAAAACATAGCTTTCCTTTATTTGAGAAGATTGTCTAAGTCGAGTGAAATACTCAGCAGGTTTAGCAGGAACAAAGTGTTTACCCTCAGGCTGCTGTGAGAGGAGAGCTGAGCTTCAGCCAGGCTAACTTGCAAAGTCACTGCTGTTTCTGCAAAGTCACTGCAACAGTCTCTTCAAACCATCCTTGCCGCTGCTTTGTCTTGTGAGAGAATATGCAGCTGGGTATTCACATCAAAAGGCCTCAGCCAAATGCATTAAGGGGAAAACTACTGTGTTGGTGTGGATGCTGATAAGACTAGATTGAAATGAAGTGAATGCTTCTAGAGTTTGCAAAGCTTGTTAAAATACCATTACACTTTCAAATCGGCATGCTTGGTCAAAAATAAGTTGTTTTTCAAATGACATTTTCCTTTAATAGTTAATACCTCTTCCCATCCTAAATTCCTGATGCTGCTGCCACTAGCTGTCAAACATTTCTCATGGAGTTGCTCTCACTGTCCACCAGGAGCTGCCAGTGAACGTGAAGTTTGTCATTGAGGGCATGGAGGAGACAGGCTCTAACGGGCTGGACGCCATGATTCTGGCCCAGAGAGACACCTTCTTCTCAGATGTGGATTACATCATTATTTCAGACTGTGGCTGGCTTAGCAGACGGCCCGCCCTCACCTATGGCACCAGAGGCAACTGCTACTTCTTTGCTGAGGTTGTGTATCCATAGCCAAGGACGGACTAATTCTTTACGAAAGCCCATATACCTGGAGGTTCTGTGCTACGTCATGTTGTTTCATGCTAATGGCTTCCTCTTGTATGTTTGCAGGTCGAAGGACCCAAACAGGACTTACATTCAGGTGTTTATGGAGGCACTGTGATCGAACCAATGACTGACCTCATTGGCATTCTTGGTGAGTCTATTTTCCAAGAGTGTAACAGCGACATATTCACAGATAATTGGTGTTGTCATGGTGGGTACCTACAGACACAAGCCTCCTCCAATACTATTTCAACAGAATGTCTCGTGATATACATCATGTCTGTCGACAAACCCCACACAGCGATTCAAGCCACATTTACTAAAATCCTCAATAGACAGAAAAATAGTCAGCATTTCTGTTGATACTGTCAGATATGCACAGCCATTCATTCATATTAGTCTCGAAACGAAGAACTGAATTTTGATATTAAACAAAAGGCCTCTTTGGATGCAGTGTTTTTGCATCTAAGTAGTATTATAATAGTATTCACGGTGAATCAGACATGTCATAAATGTAATCTTGATTATTGATTACTGCCATTCCTAAACACATTACCACCATTAACCAAACTGGTTTTAGGCAGAAGACTGTGGTGCATGGTGAGATACATGCAGCTCCAAATGCTCTGCTGCAGTATTAAGAGAAATGCGAATTAAGTGTGGGAAACTGTGTTATTTTTGTGCACACACTTGTCTCTTACCTAAAGGTGCACTTCAGTGTGTAAATGTAACTGTTGCAGCACACATGTTGTTTCTTTAAGAAGAACTTATTGAGTTCACACTAAATTACCTTCCATTTTATAAGCAAAAAAAAAAAAAAATCAGTAGGCTACAGATTCTCAGATCAGCCACAACATTGCTGTATAATACATAATAAGTAAGACTTAAAAATCACAAGGTGAGGGTTTCAAACCCTACAAGTTCTGGCACCTCTCTTATCTTCTGTTATGCAACAGACATATGAACTGTAACTTTAGTGCAGAGTGAGGTTAGGTCTTTTCAAAAATACCACCAGCCTTTTCTCATGTTCCTCCACCCTCAGACACTCTGATCAGTCCCAGTGGAAAGATCCTGATTCCTGGGATCAGAGAGGCGGTGGCTCCCCTCTCTGATGAAGAATGGAAGATGTACCAGGATATCCAGTTTGACATGGACAACTACAAGAATAAGATTGGTGTCAATCAGCTCATGTACAGCAACAAGGTAACGAGAAAGAAATCTTGGATGATAGCAGCTTGTTCTAAGAACAGATGAACTCAACAAGAAAAGGGTTTGTTATTGTATTTCTGTCCTAAAGGTGGACTTGTTGGCTCACATGTGGCGTTACCCCACCGTCTCCGTCCACGGCATTGAGGGGGCCTTCTCTGATCCTGGAACTAAGACTGTCATTCCTGCTAAAGTCACTGCTAAGTTTTCAATTAGACAAGTTCCCAACATGGACCCGGCTATGGTCAAGAAACAGGTAAAAGACAGCGCTATCACTTGTGTGTGTTCTGTCCTATTGCAGTTCCCTTTTTAAACAGCCCCTGCTCTTACCGTTGTTGTTCTGGGTTTTAGGTTACGGACTACCTTCACTCTGTGTTTGCTAAGAGGAAGAGTCCCAACAAGTTGAAAGTCACGATGGTGATCGGGGCTAAGCCTTGGCTGGCTGACACTCAGCATCCTCTCTATGAGGCTGGCAAGGCTGCTGTCAAGAGAGGTACAGGACACACACCACATCACCTCACATTAAACACCCATCAGAGCATCAACATCTATTTTACTATGATAGTAAAGATGAAACGAACTGTAAAGCACTATAAAGACATATAAATAGCAGTAATACCAATTCTAAGAAAATGTCTTATTGTGATTCTTCTTGTGGGCCAAATTAATTACATCAACTGAAGGGAAAAATTCTCCTCTACTAGTTTTACCTCCAGCCTTGATGCACTTAGTAATATGATAAATATTGCTGGTTTTCTTAGGCTGTGAGAAAATAGATATTTTATGATTAAGATATTAGATATTTTGAAATATGATGTGTTATTTTTAACCCCTTTTTTGAGAAAAGAAAAGCTGAAACTACAAGTTGAAGATCTCAGAATGTAGAAAAATGGGAGTACCTCTTATTTATAGTACCTTTCAACTGGGCTTCTCCCTACTGATATACAGATATAAACCTGATTCAACTAAGGTTTCTCTTCTTGTTTGAACATTTCAACCAAAACACAAGAAGTACAGCTTCTATTTTTCTCACTACAAAGGCAAGAAGCTATTTCCTGAGGATTTTATCTGGATTTTAATCTTAACTTTTAATAATGTGGTTTTGTGGTGTTGTTTTGTAACATTGCTGTTGGTTGCTCTTGTATGTTTTTGCTGTACACTTCTACTGTTAACTGTGTTCTTGATCATTTCTTTGTGAGAAAAGTGCTTGCATAAACACAGGAGTGCTTGAGGAAATCTTACTAAAGTGACACATGAGATGCATAATACTCCCCTTAGCTGTTTCATTCTATGGTAGGTCCGTAACCAAGGCAACAGCTGGTGTTTTACGCTATCCTTGTTCAGCAGTATAAATGTAGATAAAGAGTGTAAAAGGTAAACACCGAAAAGGGAATTTCCAGAGAAGAAGTAATTTGCATAGTCTTTAATTCTGGCAGAACATGAGTGACTCTTGAACGTACACAGAGACTTTCCATGAGATGTATGAGAATTCATATCTGCTCTACAAATATAAAATGTCGTCCGCTGGGCAGTTTTCGACATGGATCCTGATCTGATCCGTGAGGGCGGGACCATCCCCATTGCCAGAACCTTCCAGGATGTGACGGGGAAAAGCATCATCATGATGCCCATTGGAGGCTTTGATGATGGGCTGCACTCCCAGAACGAGAAAATGAGCAGGTTTGATGCCACCAGCTTTACACTCACGTCTTCTTATTTCACATTACCGGAGGTATTGAGATGAAAACAAGATGCAGAAGAGAAGCTGGGATTTAATCAGAAAGAAGCAAGCTTACACAGTCTTATCCTCTCTTAATCATCGACAACCTTGAACTGAAAAAATCCTTTAACCCTATATTTACCATACAGAAAACACACAGAGCTGCAGGATAATAGGGATTTGATTATTGTTAGACACGCAACAACACTAGCCACAGAAACATCACAGGAAACTGACTATGATTTAGCAGTATTTGTTTACATACAGCATACTGCCAGATGATAGCACACACCACAAGGACAAATGAGCAGCATCCTAAAGAAGAATACAAGGCTAAAACCTTGTTCAAGGTCATAATCTTTTTTTAAATATAAGATCAATGCTGTGACATGAACAGAAATAAAAGAAGAGTTGGTCTGGTTTAAAAAGGCTATGTAAGTCCTACCGTCAACTGGCAGTGGAATAGGGATTACATTTTTTGTGCTTTGGGGAGTTCTAAGAAGGTAAATGTACCCATCTGTTGCTGTGGATAATGGTATATTTAGATTAGTTATATGAATGTTTTACTTGCTTTTGTTAGTGTCCTGTGAGACACCAGCTTTAGTTTTTAACTGTCCATTCCTTCCTTTCTCTCTCAGATACAACTACATCGAGGGAACCAAGTTATTCATTGCCTACCTGAACGAAGTGTCCCAGATCAAAAAGACCAGTGTGTGATGTCTCACGGTACAATGACCTCTTCAGTTACCAGCCCAGCAAGAGCAAACTTTAACTTGATGTTTTCAATGTGCCTTCATCTGTATCTTATGCATTGTTGTATCTTTTGGTGCCAAGCTTCTATTTATCTGTATTATTAAGCACATCTTTTATTTCTTTCTCTTTCTGAAGTTCTCAAACTCAACAATGTTATCTATCTATCTATCTATCTATCTATCTATCTATCTATCTATCTATCTATCTATCTATCTATCTATCTATCTATCTATCTATCTATCTATCTANCTATCTATCTATCTATCTATCTATCTATCTATCTATCGATGTGTTAATATTTTGGACTTGTGATTGAATGTAATGGCACATGCTACTGCTTCTGATTGGTTGAAGTATCTGGATATCTGAAGTCATTTCTTGATGCTGTTTTCATTACTCACTTTGCATATGTGGCATATTTTAATGTTCCATATAATGTCAGTCAGTACTGTAAGAATATATGTGCGTCATATAGTAAAAGCTGTACAATGCACTGGTTTGTATTCTTTATTTATTTTGTAAGTGTCCTAATGTTCTTTATTAAGTACTAATAATGAAACAAACACACATTCATATTGGTTCTTTACGCATTTATTCACCACTCAAACATTCGCTAAATACTTGTATAGTTCCTTATTTCAGAGCCAAGTCCAGTACACATGGACGCTCTGCTGCCAGCAGTTGATGTATGCATGGACGTAGTCCAGTCATTGTCTGGTGCTAGAGCACTGTACACAGAACAGAATCCTAATCAGGCTCATGCATGAGCTATATGCTTTACATTTCATCTGATAGCTGACATTATTCAAAAAGAATATAACACAGAGTTTAACAAGTGCTTCAGTCTCAAATTTGGCATGAACGATGTGCTTCTCATACTGTAACAAGAGAAACAATTAATTATGATAAGTGTGCTTGTTCCCAGTCAAGTTTTTCTTTTTAGTATTAAAAATGTATTCTGAATGATTGTTGGTATTTTAGTATAAAACAGTACAGTGAAAATCAGACAGACAGTAAAAAAAAAAAAAATAAATAAATAAATAAAAATTTAATGTTTCTAATTAAACATCCATAACTTGTGTATACACCATGAAAACACATTTATTAAATATCAATATGCATGTACAAATGATTCACTGGAGGATTTACAACTGTGTTCAAAACTCATATAGAGAAATGATTACAACTACATTTTAATATTTTATCAATAGGTGTCAGAACATACATTGCTCAGTACATAAAGTATGAATATATCTGGATCCAATTACATGATTGTGCACTTTAAGGCATTCAGGTAATAGGGTTTGGATAAAGTGTTTTCTGTTTTTATTTCGTGAAAATTATTTGAAATTAAAGAAGGCTGCCTAATGCAGTTAGAGTATCTGTCTTATCCACTTGTGGGAAATCTGTCTTATTCTTTATGTTCTTTTATGCTGACACTCATATTAAGAGATCTCTGAAGCAACTGAAAAGACAATGAGCATATCTGTAGTGGTGAGTGTCACCCTTCATGCATTTAAAATAAATGAAAAAATATATATATGATATAACACATGCCTAAACAATAGACTTGTGATTTATTTTTTATTTTTTTGGTTGCAAATATTCACACACACCAAAAATCATAACAGTTTTGGACACTCTACAGTTATTATAAAATTGCACTATTCACTTCCAAAAATCACACATCTTTGCAAGAGGATCATTTCAGGTGTCAGGTCAGACCTTTAATTCCACAGCAGCATTTATCAAAAGCACACACACATATTTGCTACATTCTGCTCTATGTTACTGGTGACAGACTTTACTGTAATGCTGCAGATGTGTCATGTATCCCAGCAGGTAGTGGTGGGGAGGAACCCTGGTGTTGTGAAGAAGCCGTGTCTGACACTTCAGCGGCCTGATTCACAACACCAGCTGACCCTCCCCACCCACTCACACTCAACACTCACACACTCACCACAGTACTGTAGTACAGTGCAGAGGCAGTGCGAAGGAAGTTCATCTTCAGTGACTCAGTGACAACATATCACCTGGTGTCCATGTTACTTTATTGTTGTCAGACGGCAGCACACACAGTGGAGCTGCCTTTTATTTGAACCATTTAGAAAGAGATCTGCCATATTAGCATCAAAAGTAGCAGATGGAGAACACTCACCTTTCCTCTGCAGTATACTCATGGCCTCGGCTACAATGAATACAACTGACTGCAGCAGTAGTGGGGGTGGCTAACATTAAGAAACACTAAATGGAGGGCAAGGGATCAACGTGCGTGAAGTACACACTGTCTCCACTGGAGGGCAGTTTGCACACAGCGTCTTCCTTCTCTGCTCCCTCACTTTAAGGCCGATGATCTGATGCCAGGCTGGTCAAGCACAATGACTTAACCTGGAGAAAGTAAGACAGAGACAGGGAAAATAATTTATAGCTAGAACATTTAGTTTCTATGTAGTATTTGAAAATTACACCAAGATTTGACCTATTCTCCTTATAAACCACGTACAAGTCTGCAATTTAACTAGAGCACGTGGTTATCTTTAACAAATCTTTAAGAGAAAAAAAAACTGTGTGTCTGCACAGTAAAACATAAGCCAAGATTCTCAGATGTAACAGTGCTCTATTTGGTTGTCTATTTATAAAGTGCTTTGGAATTGAGGACAGGAGCTGAGAATAACTTTGGTTTCACAGCGGCAAGCCTTAATCCACCTTGAAGCATCCCGCTGTGTGCGAAAAACTCAAATCATGTCATGGTAAAGTAGGTTTACACTAAAATGATCTGCATGCAGAGTTTCACTATAACATAATGTTTTAGTAAATAAATTCCCTAATAGGTCCATTCATTGAGATTGTCCTTGACAAACTGATACTAAATACCCAGGAGCCAAATAAACATATTTAGCTGACATAATTAGTCATTATGTGAAAATTAAAGACAGCACTTGATGATCAGTATTATTTATTTTTCACTCAAGGACACACACACACACACACACACACACACACACACACACACACAAATATATATAAATACAATTGCATTCTTCCCTTCAGCCAATGGATGTGCATGTTTTTCTGTATTCTGACATTGTATGCTTTATCCTACTTATTTTTCCAACAATTCATCTGAGCTGGATTGTGCCGTTTACAGTATTTGTGTTCGTGTAAGGATGACTTTAATCAGCTGTCCCAGTGAGCTCTGATAAAACTCTAAATCCTTGCAATCTTACTGGGCACCTTGGCACTTTGGCAATTACCCAAAATATGTCGCCCAAGTAGGCACTTGACCCAAAATGTAACCCTTTTGGGACAGAGCCAGACCCAGAATCTATATCCTGTACAAGAAGCTGGTTCAAATGGATCATGTGGATGCGAAGGTCTAATTTTTCAGTACTTTGAGATCGCATATGTGACTGTAATAATGAATGAAACTGAAGTAGTGCTTAAGTTTAGTTAGTTAACTAATCTTGTTGACATATCAATACATAATGGTAAAAAAATATATTATCTGTGTATATGTATATGTACAAATCTATCTCTAATATTCATCATCTATTCATTTTAAACTATTCCTTTTTGACTGACTGGCCTCGAGGACCTCAGTCTGTCCTAACACAGGAGTCCATGAGCTTGGGAAGATTGGGAATTGGAAAGATGACAGCCAGGCTATCCTTAAAACAACAAGATTTGAACTGAAGAATCAACATTGCAGATTAAAGGCCTCAACAGTGATTATAAGAGAGAGGCTGTTTTTTGTTTCACTTTGACGAATTTAGTCTCAGTTTTGGGATTGAATCTGCAAATTTCCAGGTACTGATGAACATTTTAAATACTGTAATACAGTATTTCATAAGAAGTAATATGGGAATTGATTTTAAAAAATAAAATAAATAAAAAGAAATATATATATATGCATTAATAGTGTTATCCTTGCCCACATCATTACATTTTAAAGGTATTAATACTGAAGTTCATGTGGCAAATGACGCCCTAATGGCAAGTTACTACAAATGCACATCCAGGCGTTCATGAGAAACACATTTGTGGTGTTTCTGACCAGCAAATGAATGCAAGCTATTCTATATCTATTGAACTCCATCAACTGCTGAGAGAGACATTTGTCTTTTTAGTCATATTGAAGACCTCGTCCACACATAGGCATTTTTAAAAATCGAGCTTTTTTGATATGTTTTGACCATTTTTGCCCATAAAACACAGCTTTAGGTCACTGAATAATTGAACTTTTGGGAAACTCCACCACAAAGACATTCCGTGTTGACATGTAGATTGTGATCCTATTTTTTTACAGAGGAGATTTTGCACAAAGGCAAAGGTGGCTAACATAGTGTTCATGCAAACAGGACTTTGTACATGTTTACATACAAAAAATGAATAAAAAGTCTACTTTGCACATACATGATCCCCTCCCTACTCGATGTTCAGTTATTGATAGCCTACCAGAATCAGTAATTGTTTAGTTTTTTTTCCCCCCAGGCTTCTGATTGGTCAACATGGCATTAGGCTTATTGTTTACCCTGATGCTGCCAGTGCTTAAATTATGTTTTAGTTTTTTCATATATGAATAGAAAAAAGCTTATTTAAGACATTGTAGAAAAAACATTTTTTTAAAATACCGATGCGCATGTGGAATATGGCACCTGTACAGTTGTGAGCAGGTAGTATACAGTGGAATTATTGCTTCTTTTTTCTTCAAGCGACAGAACTTACAGGGTAAAACATGCTAATCAGTGTTTCTGTGATGGCTATTGGAACACTTTTAAGTGTAAAAATGCTCAGCCATGGTGCTGACTGTTTGTTTTACTCATGGTACATCTCCTAACATATAAAAAACACCATATGGACATGCTAACCAGGTAAAACACTTAGTTCCCATCATGCTACAGGCAGTTAGTCCCTGATGCAAATCACCAGCTTCAGTTAAAGATCAATGAGGCAAAAAGAGCTTAAAATATTTCCAATATTTCTGTGCAGAGAGAAGCAGAAGTCCAGGCATACTTCCTGCTCAGTGTCTGCCTGCAGCCTTGTTGACTAAACTGTGCACCTTGACATAATGAAGTTGCACCCAGCTGCTTCAGAGTGCTGTGCTGGACGGCTGGAGGGGGAGGCGGTTTACTGTACCACGTGTGCTGCTGAGTAAGACCGCTGTTCACAATGTTCCACAGCTCTTGTTGTGAAATTGAGTTTTAAGCGTAGCCTTTGACCACTTCATTAATCATTGGTTTGTCCTTCTGCCTGGCCAACCCAGGACAGGTCAGGCCTTTGCTAATTCTTCCACAAGCTGCCGTGTCACACTCAACATAATATCCCAGCAATACATTTCTCCTAATCCCTTTTTATCAGGTTCGCTGGCCTTTCTGGTCAATCTAATTGCGACAAAGCCCACATAAGGGCTTTTGTGCCAAAAGAAAGTTCTTTTACGGTTTCAATTAAATGGCTGGGCCGGCCCAGCGGAAGCACTTGGCTGAATGCCAGTGTCCTTCAGACAAAGAATGTCACTGCGCATAATGGAAAGATAGAAACACTTCGGTGAGGAAGAAGGAAAAAAGGTGCAGAATGTGGAGGAGAAGAAAACCCACCCAGCTGCTCGGCCTCACAGTTTAGTTCACTTCAGAACCAAAGGTTTTAGATTTTTTTTTTCAGCGGGAAAGAGCACAAAGATTTAAGTTACAATCAAAACTAGCCTGAGGGATTATGNTCAGCGGGAAAGAGCACAAAGATTTAAGTTACAATCAAAACTAGCCTGAGGGATTATGAGCTGGAGAAAGCTGTGTGTGTGTGTGTGTGCGTGTGTGTGTGTGTGTGTGTGTGTGTGTGTGTGTGTGTGTGTGTGTGTGTTTGGGTGAATTCAAATACAGAGAGAGTGCATCACAGCTTCAGAAAAGGTGAAAACATGGATCTGAGTTTCAAGGTTTTGGGCACTGGATTAAAGGCTTTGATTAATTTCTATTGTGTTTAATGCACTAACAAGTCTATCTTCAGCTACTTAGACTATATGTATGGAGGTCCAGTCTGTATATATATATATATATACACAGCAAATCCTTCCCATTATGATTCGTTTCTTGCATCACCAGTGGGGAGAACTCTCTCTCAGCCCCTGTTCAGTCTTCCTCACAGCTACTCCTTCCAACCACATTACACCAAATCTCTGACATCCTTGTTGGCTTCCTCTAAATGTCAGAATTGATCTCTCAGTAGCCTCGACATGCTGAACCTGGGAGTCAGCTAGATCTCCTCTCTCATCTGGATGGGTCTTTGGTTTCCACACCAGGCCTTGATACAGCTCTGTACCCCACTGTGCAGACGATTCAAAGAAGTTGACAACATATTTCTTCATCTACTTGTTGATTCTCTGGGCCAATAAAGACAAACACCAACAGCAGGATTTAAACAAACATTAAAGTACAAATATTCCTATTCACCTTGATGTATCACAATGTGAGAGTTCAAAGCCATGTATGGACTGCAGAGAGGCAGAAAATAAGGGTGTGGAGGTTAGATAGTAAAAGTGTGTGTCATCTAAATGAAACAATGAATGACATGGCTATGATCTGATCTTCCTCGTACTATTACAAACTCCTTTGTAGTGTTTTGGCCTCTAGTAAGTCTTTAAATCATAGATGCATTAAAAGAAATTACATTTTTTTTTGTCACTTGTCACAGTATTGCAACAAAAACAATCCCCACCATGCAGTTTCCTCATCACGGTGAAAAATAAGTCTTTAAAAAAAAAAAGAAATCATTCATTTTAATTTAAAATTAAAATGAATTGTGGCCGTGTGATAGACTGGCAACCTGTCCAGGCTGTCCTCCGCCTTAACCCTGAGTCGGCTGGGATAGACTCCAGCTCCCACAACCCTAGTGAAGATTAACTAGATTAACCTATAGATAATGGATGAATGGATGGATGGATGGGTGGATTTTAATATATGGAGTTTTAATATTTATAAAATATGGAAATTGGGAAAAAAATGGAATCACTCAGTGGTGAAAGAAGTCATCAGATCTTTTGCCGTACTTTTAAAAAAAAGTAGCAATATCACAAAACAAAACAAACAAAAAAATAAAAACAAAATTTAATTCCAAGTAAAGGCACTAAATTCAAATTTTACTTTAGTGAAAGTAGTAGAAATATTGATATAAAAATATACTTGAAGCACCAAAAGCAATTCTACAAATTCTGGAAACTGGCCCCATCTACACTGTTTTATATATTTACTACTGATTAATTAACATGTCTATGCAAGCAGCAGCTTAATGTTATCAGGTTATTTTTAACAGCTGATACTACTGCTTGTCTGATCTCTCTTTAACAATTCCCTGTACCTGACACCTCCATATCGCCCCATATTGTCTGTCTGAACCCACTC